TAAAAGTTTCAAAATAGCGCAGATTTATGTTCAGATTTATTTATATAATGAAATTTATGATAAAATCCAAATATTCAATATGGTTTAATTCTTTTGTGAAACATATTTTTTCTAAAGAAGTAATAATAATTCTATTTTATTTGATAAAATTATGATTTTTTTTAAACCAGTAAGCACAATCTATTTTTTATATTATTTTCTTTCATAACATACTTCTCGTCTTATAATTATTAAGAGAATACAGTAAGTAGTTCATATAAAATGATTGTTTAAAATGGACGAATTTGATTTAATTAAATTTGTTGACAATGATATGAATTTAGAATGGATTATATATATATCGATAATCATTGATATACATTTTTTCAATTATAAAAATAATCCGTTTTAATTGTATCACAGTAATATTACATTTATAAGATTTTCAAATGTTATGTATGTTAGATTTTTTATTGAATAAATTTTAAGATATCAAATTTATTTTTAAAAATAATTTAAAAATATTAGAGATTTTATTACAATAATTGAATTTTAACTCCAAGTTGGACTTCTAATGATCTTCAAATATACTACTTGATTCTTTTGTAAGATTAATGGACCATTAAAAAATTAATAATAATTTTCTTTAAATTTTGTATTTTATCTTAAGTTGCATGCTTTTAAGACTCCATAGGATGATATGAAAATGTTTCAAATAAATAAATGTGAGAAATGTGATATTGGTACTGAAATGTATCAAAATGCAATAAAATAACTTTGGATTGTGAAAAATGATATATTACATAATATGACCAAAACAAATCTTCTTGAGATTTCTTTTCTTTCTTGAGATATGTACTATGAAATGAGCTTAAGATTAAAGAACTCCTACTTAGCTTTAAATTATGATTTGAAACACTTAAAAAAGAAGTGTTTAGCAATAGATGCACATTTCATATTTTCCTCAGTTCCATTTCATTGGGATACATAAAGTGATAATTTGGAGTATATTTACAGTGTCAAGGCATGCTGAAATTATTGATTAACACTGCTCTGCTTGAATTCAAATAATCTTGTTAAGAAATTTCAGTGTGTCACTACCAACCAATCAACAATGTCTTAAGAACTTCTATGCAAAGTGGGACACATTACAAAGGATGGAAAAATCCCGTGAACATCTGTCTCGAGTATTATGAGAAAGCTAGGACGATTCATTCTCAAACAACTGTTTAATTGATTAACTTTATGAATAAGGATATATTATAATCTCTTGTTTTTTTGTAAGAATTACCGTAGGTGCCAAAAAATATCCTAGTTCCTAGAATTTGAGTTCTGTTTTGTAAACTGTGATATAAGAAGGGTTATTTTGGTTAAATTTTATATTAAACATAAATTTAAGTCAAATGATTCCATAATGATGCGAAGAAGACCTAGAATTTTTATGTGAAAGTATGCTCTTGTGAGCAACTTTTTCTCTCAAGTTTTCTTCATTTGCAAACTTGAGCTTCACGTGAAAGAAGGGTACAGTCAGCCTCTTACTTGAGATCAAAAGCTCTCAAAGAACTCCAAAGGTCCCAATATGGACATGAGTTTCTTGCGTGAAATCTTCTGTTAATAGCGGAAGCCGGTTTTAAGCCTTTTAGTCGCAGTTGCATAGGAAGTGACATTTGCGGGTACAGGGTTTTGTACATTTCACGTACGATCAGATTTCGCATTGTGACCAACCACACCCCATCTTACTCGCTCCTTTTTACCGGGCATTGTCGATTTTTCCAACGATAGGGTGGGTTAAAAAAGTAATTCAGTTCTAAACATCGCAATATGTGGGTTGCTTGGTGCATGGGCGGCGCCACTGGATTCGGGGTCGTCTTGTTCTTTAATTTGGGTGACCTAGAGATTGTGAAGAGCGCTAGGCCTGAAATGGAAGAATGGGTGTCCAATGTCGTAGGCCGGAAGTTCTACAAGTAGCGGCTGTGGATGCACATGACAGCAAATCTTGGAGCGTAAGCACCATCATTTGGCTCCTATTTGGACACATTTATCACCCCGGTTGAGCGGAACCCTGTGAAGCCCATGGAGGAAGGGGGAAATCGTAGCGCTCTTGAATGCCTTGAACCCGGGCCTCGTCCTGCTTCTTCTTTAAATGTTGTGAACATGATGTTGGTGATGTACTCAGTGCAAGTGAATGGGCGTCTTTGTGGGCCAATGGGACCATCATTCCAGATTTCGACAATGGTATGGTAAACTTTCATTAAGAGAAGAAACAGAGTATGTCTGCCCGATGACAAAAATGCCTAAGAAAGAATAGAATAATATCCCAGAGATCTGAAATTTGGTGTTGGCTTTTATATTTCTATGGCCATCAATCATCACTCGAATTTACTGGGGGCCCTGCGCAGACATACCCTTATACTATCATCATACCCACACTCATACAAGCCCCCCCATCGCCTCAGATCAGGCCCCACCCTCATCTTTAGATTTTCATACATTCCCTAGAGGGTGTTTTTTGTTTTGTTTTTCCCCTTCCACACATTCCCCTTGCTTACCGGGCCGTTACACCCACCCATGCTCTTTGGCTCAAAATCCGCTCCAATATATTATTAACCCACATCATAGTTAGGAGATATTACTACAGTATTCTGATTAGTATGACTGATGATAATCAGAGCACCGCAGAGATTCTTCCATCTCAGATCATCGCATCGCATCGGGCGACCTGGCGGGCTCGACTTCAGTCAAGCGAGCCAGCTCGCGCGCTCGCCCCATTAAGCTTAATCAGACCGCCGAGGAGCTTATTATGATTACCCTAATCCTACGCGTCTCCCATCACAAAACGGCGGCCATACGTGCTTTGGACGTGCCAGACGTCAGTCTCACCGCCGGCGCGCCCTGCGCCCAGAAGCGTACCGCCAAACCCGTGTACCCGTCGCGACGAGGCAGCCACGGCGCGACGCGAGGGGCTGCAGGAGCTCAAGGCGTCCCGTCGCCTTCCTTCACCTTCCCGAATCCTTGCTCTCGCCAGCCAGCCAGCCAGTCGTCTGGGTTGCTACCAGTTCTCCTCTGGCTGCGGGTGGCATGGCGGTGAAAGACGGGCAGTTCCCCACACTCTTGGAGATCGTCTCTACGGTATTCATCCTTTGCCCTGCCCTGCCCTGCCATGGCATGGCATGGCATGGCATGGCATGCCATGCCACAGACGGTATCAGATCCCTCGCTTCGTCGGCGCCTGTTTCCTCGCCTTCATGCACGGTCCCCGGAGGCCGAAGAAGAGGACCGTTTATTTATCCCTTCTCGCGGTAGGATTCTCTGACGTGCCGGACAAGAGGAGGGACAAGAGGAGGGACGGGAAGTGAGGGAAGGGGAGGAAAGGAAAGGAAGCGAAGGGAAGGGCAGGAGAGGAAGGAAAATGGCGGAACGAACGTGAGGAAGATGCAATGAAATGGTCGAGGAGAAGGGAGGCGTATATTAGGCGGTAATTAAGTGAGATTTGACTGCGGCCGTCACTATTGCTCGGCTGGAGGTCTCGAGCACTTGATTGGAGGTCGTTTGCTATAAAGAGTCCTCGTAACCTAGTCTACAGCTGAATGGACATAGCCAGACGTACTGACGGCCCGCTCGTCTCATTCCATACATGCCCGCACCTTCCCCGTATTCGCCCCGATACCAAAATGGGGAGGGGCAGAATACGCCCGGCGTCATAATACCGTATCGCGTATCCAGGGCGGAAGACACATTGGGACACCGACCCGGTCGAGAGGCCCTGAGCCGGATCCTTCGATTTGCCTGATGCGCTCGCCATGGAAGAACATGGATACTGATTGCTCATCGATTGCGCGACCTTTACAACCCGCAAGTAGATCATGACACAGTTATCTAGTGGTACTGTGAGCAGTCTTGTTGTGCCTGGCCTGGCCTGGCCTGGCCCGGCCTCGATCATACATGAAACTGCGCTCGCTAAGTCAGAACTCAGTGGCCAGGTGGACCGAAATCACACCAAAATGGTGTACCTCTTGACCGCTTGCTGTCAAGAGTGGTTCCCATTAGCTCTCGGGCGCTGTGCAGGGCGAGGGGTCCCAGGTCGCGGCTTGCGGATGATGCTAACAAATTCTGCAAATCATGCTGCGAGTCGATTGGATGTCCCGGTAACCGGTAGCTCGCGGAGTAGCCGGCGTCGCCGGCCGGAGCGGGGCGGTTGCCGGGGGCCGGGGCGTGTGAGTACGGATAGGATAGGCGAGTCGGGGGGCTACACTGTACAGTATATCTTCTGTTGAGGTGTAGACTAGGTAATTTCGAGTCTTTATGACAAACGACCGTCTAATAAATTGCTCTTTTGTGCCATGGCTCGAGGCCTCCTCGGCTGCCCGTAAAAAGTTGCAAACAGCCTCCGTCATCCGGATATTGAGGACGAACCACATGCCGGCACGTGGTGCCCTCATCAATTCGTCTCAACTCTAGTTTATATCGCACACTCCCTTTATCCGTCCCGACCGAGGTGGTGGGTTTTACTAACTTCGTCGGTTGGTCGGTACTGTACAGAGCGAGCGCGGACGCCCGTTGCTCAGGCCAAGGCAAAGCCAAGCCAAGCCAAGGCAAGGAAAGAAAGTGGAGAGAGGCCCCAACACGCACACGACAGGAAAGGAAAGCAAAGCAAAGGAAAGGAAGGCGAACCAAAGCAAAGCAAAGGAGCGGAAAGGAAAGGAAAGGAGAGCAAGGGAACGAGGGGAAGACACGGAGGAGGGAAGGTGAAGAGGAAGGAAGGGCAAGGAGGGCGCTGGCGCCTTGAGGCAGCACCGGCAGCAGTGGCGCACCCTTCAGTCTGCTGCCTGCCTGCCTGCCTGCTTGCTGTGCTGCGCTGCTGCCTGGACTGGCCTGGCCTGCGTCTGAGCTGCGATTTGTTTGTTGGTTTGTTGTTGGTTGGTTTTTTTTGTTTCCCTCCACCACACACTACGCTACACTACACTACTGCTGCTGCTGGTGCCGCTGCTACTACTACTACACCACCAGCACCAGCACCACCCCCCGACAGCAGCTTACGAACGTAAGGAAGAGGAAGGGAAGGGACGGAGGACTGATGAATGGCTGACTGCCAGGCCAGACTAGACTGACTGTATGTAGGCAGAAGAAGGAAGGATGCTGCTGCCATGCCAAGTGAGGAGAAAGACGGAAGCGAGAGGGGGGAGGGGAGGAGGAGACGTGAAGGTGGTCGGGTAATCGAATTCGAGGCGGTGGAGGGTTTTTGCGGGGTGGGAGCAGGAGGAGAGGAGAGGGGAGTGGTAAAATTGGTCGTCCTCTTCATCCGTCTCCTGTCCTTGCTTGCTCGCTCGGCTCGGCCCGGTCTGCGTCAAAGGCCGAGCTCGTTGCAGTTCTTCGGTTCCTGTTTCCTAGGTAGCTCTGCTACGACCGCGCTGCAAAGTAGCTGACTGCGCTGTTGGCAAGGCAAGGCTGGGCTGGGCGGTGTTGCTGCGGAGTGGAGAGTGTAGTGGAGGGACGGGGGACGGGGGCTGGAGTGTTGTGCAGTGAAGGGAAGTGTGAAAAGTGGGACGAGTGTGAACAAGCCGACGAGCTGTCGCTGTCGAGTTCTTCGGAGCACGCTTGGAAAGATTCTGCGGGTTGAGATGTAGTGGTAAGTAAGTGGCGGATGTGTAGTTTTCTGTGCTGCTGTTGTTGCGCTGCAGCTCTGATTCTCCTGCCCGCTGAGTCCAGTATGAATTCGAGAGGTAGTTCCTGTGCTCCGTTCGAGAGGGCCGTGGTGAGTGTGTATCTTCGAATGAGAGAAGAGAGAGTTGGTTGATGTGATGTGATGTGAAGTGACGAGGTAGTGAAATGGGTCGGAGGTAAGCTTCAAGCGTGTAAGGCACCAAGGCCGGGCGGGGCAATGGGGTAGGAGTTCTGTGCAAGCAGGAAGGCAGGCAGGCAAGACAAGTAGAAGGAGCAGCCGATTTACCCGAGGGAAGTGTGGATGACGGTAGGAAGTAGCTGATGCGGTACGATTAATTATTTTCCCGCCTCTTCTGTCCATCTTCGTCCTTGTCTACGGTTTAGTGCCCCGAGTGAGTCAGTGGAATAGAGAGCGATTAGTCGGAACGCGCTGGTTGCGGGTGGTGGTGGTGGCGCTGCTGCTGCCTCAGGAAAGAGTGAACTTTTGACTAGTGAGTGTATACTGGCCGCTGCTGGGTTCTGGGTTCTGGGTTCTGCAAGGCAAGTAACTCACGCGAAGGCGAGTGCGACTCCAGGAAGCGCGCAGGTGAGAAGGTCCAAGCAGTAGGCAGCCTGCGTGCCGAAAACACGAGGGATTAGTTTGTCAGTAGCGAGTCGAGCCATCCAATGTCATCTCCTGTGTGGACTGAAGTCAGTGAGTCCGTCGTTGTCGAGACAGTGTGTCGGTGGCGCTGTGCTCTCTGTGGTGAGGTGGGGTGAGGTGGCGCGGGGCCGAGAGAGCTGGGAAAATCCTCCGACATTGGCCAATCCCCCCTCCGTCCGTCGTAGAGCAGACGACGAGCAGGAGCCGTGAATGAGCTGGAGCTGGAGCGAGACCAGGGTCCGAGCTCGAGATTTTGGTCTACACCATTCGACGCTCGCCTCCCCCCTCGCGTTCGTGGAAAGGCTTATATTTCACTCACGACCTGGCAGCAGCTGCTTCTGCGACTGAGCGGGGTTGGGTTTGTGCGTATCCACACTCTCCGCCCTCACTTCTCCTCCGACCACGGGCCGCCGCGGAAAATTACCCTCCCCGCCTTTGCCTGCGGGCACTGTGCGCTGCTTTTGTTTGGTTCCACCTTTTGGTGGGGGCCGCCGATGGTGCTGTCTGTCGTCTGCGCCTTCTGTCTACGTCTCTTTATCTCGTCTCGTCTCGTCTCGTCTCGACTCAGCTCTCGAAACTCAGTCCCGATGAAGGTTGGCGAGAGGAGGCGGCTGGGGCTGGGGCTGGGGCTGGGGCTGGGATGGGATGGGATGGGTAGCCGGGTCGGGTTAGCTCGCTGACTGACGGTGCTGCTGCGTCCATGGTGTCCAGCCATCGCATCGCAGTCTTGTCAATCGTCGTGCACGCGACTGCGTCGCAGTTCTTGATACGCACGCGACATCGGAACTGATTGCGATCCGCTCTCGCCATCGTCATCGTCCTGTGCGGCGTCAATTTCGCCCTACCTGCTGCACCATAGCATCTCCTGGCCGCGAATTCTTTAAACCCTCGATGTCGCCCTCCAGGTGCTAGTCGCTCTCACGAGCCCTCGTCTCATTGTTGCGAAACCCTGGCAGGCGAGCGAGCGAGCCCAATTCCTCCCGCAATCAATTGTGCGACCCGAGGCGTCGCCAAGTCGCAACTGTCCCTCCATCTTTTTCCACCTCTGGTTCATATCAATGCGTCGTGCGTGGGGTTTCCATCGGTCTTGGGTTTTGGCACCTGACCCCACGTACCGCCGCTGTGATGTGACCGTCGCTCCGGCTGCTCTCTGCGCTCAAGATTTGCGTCCTTCGGATGCGAGGGATTTGTAGCCACCATCACCAGCAGCAGCAGCAGCAGCAGCAGCGGCATTCGAGAACTGAAGCGCTGGCTGGCTGATCCAGTCGCGGCCTGGACATCATTCCACATCTTTTGCACTGGCCTGGCCTGACCTTGATTCTTGATTCCCGCGTTATTATTATAGCCTCGGGTCGCTTGACTGGGTTTTGAATTGGAATCTGTGCGACGAGCCATCGCTTCTGATGCCCTCCCCTCCGTGATCTTCCTTCCCTACTAGCTATAGCAACGTTGCATTCTGGTCGTGCTCCTGCCCGCGCGCCCGCGCCTCCGCCCGCCTGTCCGCCCTCACTGACCGTTTACTACCCACTCCTCCGTACGGAGTTCGCACGCAGCGCTACTCGGAACGCCCCAGGTATCCCCCCAAGGGCCGCCCATCAATAACTTTCGCTTCGGCGTATGGTATCCGTCTTGGCGTCGAGATGTCTATGAGACTCGCGGCTGCGATTGGAGGGAGGAGGAAGAAGGGACGCGAGGGGCAGGGCGAGTGGGAAGGGGAGGGAGACGAGGGCTTGATGGTGCCGCTAGTCGTAAGCTGCGTATCGAGTTCTTTCATTCTATACCTTGGTGTGCGTAGTTTGGATTGTTTTGCGTGTCGTGTGCGAGTAGTGAGTGAGTGAGAGAGAGAGAGAGAGAGGTGGGTGGCGGCTTCAGTGGCATCGCTGTGATCTGCTAGTGCTATGCTGCCGGTGCGTACCAGAAGCATCAGTGGGATTGCTGCGGGGCCTCTGAGGGTGGCCAGGTCACATACATGGTGTGATGTGCTGAAGCCAGTGGGGTGGTGCTGTGGGTGTGTTTGTGCGTGGGGCTCGATCGTTTTGCAGGAGTTGGGAATGACATTTAGGCATCTGCTGTTCTCGTTCCACGAGTCGTCGACGACCGGGGCTGGCTTGCGTTAGCTGACCACACGCAGCGCCCGCTATGGCCGCGTGAAAGCGACCAGCTCTTGGAGATGATGAAAACCGCGCAGTAGCCGGAACGAGCTGTCGCACAGCAAAGCCAGGCGGCGACCCGAGACCTGGAAACAGGCAGCAGCGGCATACAGATGGGTGGCAAGAAGATTTCCGGGGCAGTGGTCGAGACCCCTCAGCAGCAGCAGGTCATCGTCGCCCCAGCTCCCGGCAACAGCAGCAGCAGCAGCAGCATCGGCGGCGGCGGAGTGGAGCGCCTGGTGGCCGGAGGCTCGACTTCTTCTTCATCCGGGGGCGGCGGTAGTGGTAGCGCTAGTAAATGTGGGTACGCGGGCGTGCTCAAGAAGGGCCTGGTAGGTGCTGGAAACGGCGGGGGAGGTGCAAATGGGAAATCGAAGCCGGCGTCGGCTCCGCCACCCGCAGATGGAATTGCTGAGGCCGGAGATATGAGCGTCAAAGTGAATGGCAACGGAAGTTCCCACGACGTCAATGTTCGTATCGATATAGGAGATCGCCCAATACACGAGGCACTGAATGACTTGACGCTCCAGTCCGTGGAACAAGCTGGGAATACTCACCTCACTCAGGAGGAGGATGTTTTCGCCGCAAGCGTCGAGGAGGCGGTAATAGACACGGGAAGTGACCGCAGCAAAAGCGGTTCTGATGATCTTTTAGGACCGAACGGCCGCGGCGATTGTTCGGCCGCCGATCAGTGGAAAATGGAACACAAGCCTCCGGATGTCGGCAGTAGTCCCAGTAGTTCGTCCAGCAGCAGCTGCTCCCGACAGCATCAGCAGCAACAACAACAACATCAACAGCAACAAAGCCTACAGCAGCTCCACCACCGGGAGTACGATCTTCATCGCTCTCTGCCCGACCGCGAATTCCGCCCGCCTTCCTTGATCTTACCCGATGCTGTGAACATCGAGAGCGTCGACTCCGACTACCGCGCCCCGCAGACACTGCACCTGCCAGCGTCGCTCGTGGTGTCGCCTCATGATGGCAAGCAGATGTTGCTCGACCCTAATGCTCGCGAATTCACACCCTCTCCATCGCCGTGCCCCTCCCCCGTGCTCCCCCCGAGCGTCATGGGGCTGGTTCCCTCTCCTTACCACATGGAGCCCCCGCACCTCTCTTACGCTCCCGGCGTGGAGCTTGGCCCCGTCATGTACAGCGCCGATTACAATGGGGGTCCTGTTATGCCTCTGTACGCCAACGGAGGCCCTCTGGGCTACGGCCCCATCCCAGGCTCTCCGACTCCGCCTTGGGAAAACCAGCACATGGGCATGGGAGATATGTCACACCACTTGCCGCCTGGATCCGGACCTCCTTCTATGGTCGGCCAGGCCTCTCATCTCATGCGCCCCTACGTGACAGCTCCATCGATGCACGGTTATATGCCATCCGGATGCTCGCCCCCGATAGGATCGCCCACCGGGAACATGCCTGGATTCTCCGTGCCACCCCCTCTGACTGGGCGCGAGCATGTGTCTCGGGCGCTGCTTCTGAGCGGGGTGCCCATTGATCTGCCCGACATGAAATTGAGGCACGAGCTCGAGCAATGGGGCCTTGTCCGTGCCCTGGGGTTGGAGCGGCGCCAGGAAGGGCAAGTGACAGTTCACTACTACGATTTGAGGCACGCCAAGGAGGCGCTGAGAGACGTGCAGCAGCAGCATTTGCTGCAGCAGCAGCGCATGCAGCAGAAATTCCAGCAGCTGCAAAAGCAGCGCCCTGGAGTCGTGCACATGCCCAACAACGACTTGGAGCTCGACAAGCAGCAGGACGTGTACAATGATGGTCAGAGGGACGAGGATTCTGCCCAGCCTGCTGCGAGAGGCTTAATTGGAGGTAAAGCCGTGTGGGCGCAGTACGCAGGTCCCCTGGGGTCCCCTGCGGGCCCTGATCACCACAATCAGGGAACTCTGGTCGTCTTCAACCTGGATGCGGACCTGCCCCTGGACGAGTTGAGGGCTGCGTTCGAGGCCCACGGTATGTTACTTCTGACTTCTCAATTTTCCTCTCATTCTCTATTTCCGAATTTCTCGACCGATGACTCAGCTTCGGGCTGTAAGCTCCCAGACTGTCTGAATCGGGACACGAGGGCGTACTAAATTTGACTCAGCGTGACTCTTCTGGCTGTCCCGAGCGCTGAATATCGCTCTGTGCGAGCGACGTTCAGCGAGAACGGGAATGTGTTTTCTAGCTGGTTTCCTACCATTTCTGACGCCCGATTTGACACGGCAGGTGCCGTAAAGGAATTGCGAGAAACTCCGCAGAAACGGCAGCATAAGTTTGTAGAGTTTTACGATGTGAGAGACGCCGCTCGAGCTCTGACGGCGTTGGATGGGCACGACATCGGAGGCAAGAGGGTGAAGATAGAATTCAGTCGGCCCGGAGGGCAGGCCCGCAGAGCGCGAGCTCAAGCAGCTCAAGTTATCGCACAGCAAGGCGGGGGATCCATGCTGCCTTTAGTCAACAACAGGCTGAACGGGGGCTTGGCGGGATCCATCCCAGGTCAACACATGTTCGTCGGCTGGGGTGCGGATCCTTCTATGGGTCCTGCACAGTCTATGTCTCCTCTCCAAGGCCCACCCCCTACGTACTTGTGGGCGAATTTCGGACATGTCGCCGCCGGGCCTTCATCACTGGCACCGCTGAATGCGATTGTACAGCAACAGCAATGGAATGTGGGGCATGGTCAACTGCAGCAAATGTCATACCCCCAAATTCAAGGGCCTTCCAGCCCAGGACTTGCCGTGTCTGGTGTTTCCATGGTGAACGAAGGAGGTCATGGTCGGCAGTACGGAAGAGGAGGCCGAAGCTTCAACGGTGGGACTCTCTCATCGCCGGGGGCCTCGAGTTCTTTCATCAGTGGAATTTCTACAGGCTTCAGTAGAGGAAGTCAGAGTGGAGGTTCTTCAGGTCGAGGGTCGTCTGATGAGCCTGCAGGGCGAAGACGTCGATCAGGTGGTGGCGGTGGAGGTGGCGGCGGAGGTGGTAACGCCGGAAACAACTCCAATGGCTCCTTGGCGAAGATGGACTTGTCTAGTCTTCCGAGTTCGAGTTCTAGTAGCGACCCTAAGCAGTGTTCAGAGATTTCATCCGGTGGATCTCGAGATAGCCCACGCAGCGCGAAGACCGGTCTGACCCCGAAAAGCTCACCTCGAGAGCATGCACAGTACACTTTCAATGCCGATCAAGCTAAGCTGGGTCACGAGACTCGGACGACTTTAATGATCAAGAACATTCCCAATAAGTACAAGTGAGCTTTTTCAATTTTACTTCTCCAGTATCCACTTTTGGCTTAAAGTTCGCTGCTTGATTTTCTACTGACAAATTTGTTGGTTTCCTGATCTGATTTGCTGACTCAAGCCTGTATCTTTCCTTGGGCAGTCAACCGATGCTCTTGGCCCTTTTGGACCAGCATTGTCTGTGCTGCAACAACGCCATTCAAGACCCCAATGAACCTCAGTCTGCTTACGATTTCGTGTATCTACCCATCGATTTCAAGTAAGCCTTTCACGAATCGTTCTCATATTGATGTACAGGCCACCGTAATTGAACGCTACCCCCATGAAATGACTTCTCAGCCTTGAACCCGACTGTAAGTCCTTCTCACGGTACTCTTAACTTGGGCTGCTGACAGGAATCGTTGCAACCTGGGCTACGCGTTTGTGAATTTCACATCTGTATCTGCCACTATAAAACTCTTTGAAGCCTTTCATGCGCAGCAGTGGGAAGCCTTCAATTCCCGAAAGATATGTCAGGTCACTTATGCTCGCGTTCAGGTGAGGTGTACTTTGGAATATGGTCTTGAAACTTGTCATTCAAAGTCAAATGAAACCAAAAATTGGATCGTTTAGGGAATCTCATTGATGTTTATGTAGGATTTAAACTGCAGTCGCAGTAATGAAGCCCATTGCAGGATCGTTCAATAACTCACGTTGTTGGGTGTCTGTTTGTAGGGCCGTCTCGCTCTGGAAGAGCATTTTCGCAACTCTAGGTTTGCTTGTGACACGGACGAATACCTTCCTCTGGTGTTTTCACCCCCGCGCACCGGGATAGTTTGTCCTCCTCCTATTGTGGCAGCTGGCCATCTGGCTGGACGTGCACTCACTTGCAGTCCCAGATCAGAGAACTGTCGACCGAGTAGGAATGGCGATCTCGTGGACGGCAGCAGCAGCAGCACCACAAGCACAGGAGAGCAGTCACAATCGCAGCAGCAGCAGCGGGAGTCCGCATCCGTCAATTCTGATCAGGATGCCGAATCTGGAGTTACTTCATCCTCGATAGGCCAGGCTGGTAATTGTGTTGGTGTAGCCCCATACGCAGGCCGGAGACCCAATGGGCCGCACAGATGAGGATGACGATCTCTCGGCCGTCGGTTTGGGCTCTACAACAAATTCAGTAGGTTGTAGTCTTTTGGGTGTAGATAGTTCAGGTGGAGATAGAATCGACATCTGCACCCTTCCTCTATGAGACTCTTGTGCAGATTCGAGGTATAAGGAAATCCATAGAGGACCACAAAAGCAGATTTATTCTGTTAACACAAGTTGATGATAGTTCTTGGATTATGAATCGTTACGCTCACGCAGAAGGAGCTTGGCTGACCGTGTGCATTCGGTCGGTACGCTCTTTACAAACGTTGAAGTCTAATGTCGAGGAGCACGTAGGTACCAAAAGATGTCACTCTTGTAAGCATTGCATGCATTGTAGTCACTCGCGATGAGATAGAGAACAGCGGGGGAGAGAGTGGAGGAAGTGCCTGGACCCAGTGCTGGCCCAGGCGAGTTAGTTGGAAATGTCTTCTGGTTCACAAAAGTCAGTCCAAACGATATATTTGCTGGTCCATTATTCATCAATCAGACAGACGTCCATGTTGACTATATGAGTCCATGTTCTTGTTGAGGCCGATGATGTATGCATATATCCAAATTCTCTTGCTCGGTTTGTCTCCACAATTCACTGCTTACCGTTCGCAATCCACTCGAGGATCCACAGCCATCTTCAATTTCCAAAATAAGCATGGCGACTGGATTCAGAGCAGGTAGTTTCCTTGTACTTTTTTTAATTAACCATTAAACTATACTTTCAGGAGGTCGACATACGAGAGGGAGAAGAAAGTCTTCGATAACGATCATAGCCTATTCCTCAACACATATTCAACATATCATGCAGTAAACATGAGCGTAGTTGAGAGACCTTGAAAATTCTGCAATAGCTTTAGAGGTCGGATCATTATTTAAGATCCAAGCATAGATTAATATCCGATGTGTAAGATCTGAGATTCGTGCTCTGCCCTATGGTCGAAACTATATTTATTCACTCGAGTTTACTAAATTCCGAGGTAGGCAAGAGAAGATGAGGAGTCTGTATCTAGACAAGAGTGTGTACGCACGCTCGCAGTAGCAGCAGCAACAACTTTCTCACTCTACTAGAACGACATCGTTGCTGGACGGAGCTTTGAAATCTTCCCTCCTGTGTACTTCAAGCCGTGCCTTTTCGAATCTGTCAAAGTTTGATTGCTCCTGGAACACCTACTCGGTCGTACACCCAGTCTGCAGCAACAGTAAAACTAGTCAGCACAGCGCAGTGTCTCGGAGCGGACATAGATATTCTCATCGACTCCTTTTTGAACCAAATTCCAACCCTATCTCGAGTGAGAGAGAACTTTGCAATAATCGTTAACGTGAATATCCCGTCTCTGCTTCTGCCGCAACTGTTGCGAGTGCGTATTGATTCCATCCTTCGCGCACATGATCGAAGTAATCCTTTGCCGTGCACATCATGCAATGCAAGGCCATGTGATCTCGTCTCGTCTCATTCCATGCCATGCCATCCTATCCCATCCCAGTCCAAGCACAAGACCTCGTAATAGACGTGGACTAGAGTGTACTGAAGTCCGATCATCTGGTATGCACCCAGGAGCTGGAGGTCGGATCTGCTCTCTGCTCTGATATATTTTATTCTTCCAGTGTAGTTCGATAACTCTCCTGTACAACTACGGATGCATGCAAAAGCCAAGCGCGAGCCATGCCAAGCCGAGCGAAGCTGGTAGTCCTGTTGGGATTCGTTGTCCACTTCAGGCGCCCAGGCATGCCGATTCCCGGGCACTACTACCTAGAACAAAGATAAATAAGGCATGGGTAGACCTGGAGAATCTTGTGCAAGTATTAAGTATACTCCACATGTGCCCGACACAAATCCGGACTTTTCATCTTGATCCGGATAGAACTGGGATGGAATTACAATGCCTCCATCGTAACACATCAGAGGACTAGCCTTGGGACCTCGGTTCCCTGCGGGTCCGGAAAGAGCGAGGAGGATCGAGAATGACAACAAACCTGGTTCTAACTAGAATCGTCCAGCATGATGATGAAGACGAGCAGATTTGGTCGATATCTGCTACTTATGAATCTTATAGCTTTGACCAGGTTGAGCCAAACTATGCAGGCAAATTCATCTGATGGATGGATAGATGCATAGTTGCATGCATGCATGCCCGTCTGCTAGCCAAATATGAGTTGAACGTACCCATGGTACTCTCGATCGTATGCTCGTCTCCTAGTTCTACCGGATGGATGTGTACAAAAAGTGCTCCTGCAGCTATTTCAGAATAGTTTGACTGTGTTCTGGCCTAGTCTGCTTGCGATGCACTTTTCTCAATCCAGATCTTGGGTTAGATAGCAAAGTGGTGCTATAGCACTATCTATCAATGAGATTGGAGTTTTACCAGACATTGATCAGTCAGTCAATCAGTTTCAGTGATATTGCATCATATGATTGAAAAGCTATCAGAGAAGTTCGTTTGGACTAGGCCCTTGGAGTCTCTAAAAGTTGTTGACTCGTTAACTTCTTCTCTGCGCTTTACATTAGTTCGACCTGTTGTGTCTCATGCATCAATTCTTCGGGCATGTGGATATGATGGACCAGTCGTTAGAAATGGAATTTTATAAATATTTGTGTTTATCCCTTCATTCCACTCATTGCTACAGAGTCCGCCTCCACTGCCAAATGTGTATTAATGATCCTACCATATTGAGCACCAGCCAAACTGTTCAGATAGATAACATGCAGATGCACGTAGAGTTTGACCCAATACTTCAATCAATCACTTCACTTTCCTCACAAGTCGGAGGGGCTACCAACAGAGCGTAAACAGCGATATGAGCTCGATGACGGTGACCCCGTTCCCTCCTTCGGTGTTTGTCTGTTTGCTTGACCCTGAGAGCAGAATATGCTGTAGAAGTACCCTGTCTGTAATTCAGGAGAGACATCTAGACCTACTTCCTAGGGTTTGGGTCATTCACGAGCTTCATAGCCAGCCAGCCAGCGGACCCCCGGCAGCAGCAGCAGCAGTACGTTGTTGTGCATGGATTCTCTCGACTTGACTTTTTTGAGACAGCCTACTACTGTACTGTTGTTAAAATACCCCTCATGTCCGTTACCCATGATCCTCGTGCACCCAGGTGCAGGGGAGTGCTCAAAGCCTTTTTGTTGAAATTTATCACAGTCAATGGTCAAGCTGCCTGCACTGCTCTTCTCACTAACCTGCCCTGCCCTTTGCTCCCCTCCCCTCCCCTTCCCTCGCTGCCTGCCCTGCCCTGCCCTGCCCTGCCCAGCCCCTGCCAGGAGGTTGTATGATAATCGAACATAGTCAATCAAGGACTTTCGTTAAAGGTAGTAGTGGAGGAGATCCTCGTGACCCCTCCCTCCCTCCTTCCCTGCTTCCCTGCTGAGCGGAGTTCAGCTCAATTCTCGGACACAGGTGACCATTGCAGAGTTTGCTGTCCCTCGATTCCTCCGGACCGAGGATCACCTTCTCGCACACAGACATTAAGAAGGAAAGGCTTGAGGATAAAGTTGGGACATGGCTTGCTTCATTCATGTGCTCCAAGCGAATAAGAATCTCAGAAGGAAATTTTGTCATAATTGACACAAGCACAAAGGTTTGGTTGGTCCTTTGTTTTGCAGATCCTTGTCGACAAATGGGTGGGGTCAAGGGTGGGGTCGAGAGGTTCATCTCTTCCCCCAAGCCTCCCGGAGGTTGTACAGCGTTTTTGTATCCTCGCAGATACGAATGTCCAACAGCCGGTCAAGATCCTCCAGGCACAGAAGAGAACAGAACAGAAGCAAGCGAGGCTTGAAATCCTCGTGGGCACATGTTTCATACTCTCTAGTCCTCCAAGAGAATTCTCGGCGAAAGTCAAGCGACCTTTTCCAGCCATCAAAGCGGACATGGAACAGCCAAAGTGCACCTTTTCGGTCACCCATCCCTCAACTGCCCAGCCCAATCTCTCTCTCTCTCTCTCTCTCTCTCTCTCTCTCTCTCTCTCTTCCTGTTATATCTGTGGTTTGAGTACTTCGTTTTTATCGAGAGGAGAGGAGCATGGGCTCATGCTCGGCTAATTATGGGTTGCAGCAGCAGCAGCAGCTTCATATGTACTCTTTCACGTCTCTTCACTTCACGCTTCGAAGGCAGCAGCAGCAGCAGAGGAAGGAGGGATTTTACATGCTCCAGCCTCAGCCCAGTTTTCAGCAGCAAATCCATCAAACATCGACTCGTTCTGTTGTGCTTTTCGTCCTGTCAAATATCCCATCAACTGACCAATCTGCTGGTTGAGGCAGTTGGATTTTGGACCCAATCGGCCACCGTGGCCCCCCCCCCCCCCCCCCCCATATCTACAGTAGCATTTCTATTCCAACCGTAACGTGATCTACTACAACAGAAAATGTGAACCCTCTTCCACATCCACATCCTCATCTTCTCCCCCTCCCCTTTTCACTTTCTCGTTTTGCCTTTACCATCGATGGCATCGATGTCCTTACTCGAGGGTTCAAGCATTCCAATCTTCCATGACCAACTATCTAAATCCAGCAAGTTTATGAATCTCTGTCGGCGATTAACGTGCTCAGCCTCAGGGCTGAAGGTCCGTGTTCTCGACGTTGCTTCTCTGCATGAAGCTCATTAATGAACGAATGCCACTGGACCGTCGTGGCCAAGCGGAGGCGAGGGGAGTTCATTCATCAAAACATGAGTGTTCACATGAATTAAAGCCTCGGAGGAACAGAAGCAACTCGAGAAGGTACAAACATGGATCCACCCACGCATCCATCCATCCATCCATCCATCCATTCATCCATGCATGCACTCCAGCACTCCATCACTCATGGATGGAGTGCATGCTGTCAGGTATCCAGGCCGCTATGCCATGAGAACAACCGACGTCGAATCTCTTCGGTAAAGAAGATTTGGACGACCGAGGTCGAATATCTCGTTTGCGTGTGGGATCTCGAAGAGTCGACACATCTTGCTTGGCCTTGTTGTACGCTGAGCCTACTACAGATGAGGAGTTGAGAAGAGCGCTGCATCGCTAGCGATGCGCAAGGACTACGTACCAGAGCTCGAGGGCTTGAGGGGTTGAGGGCTTGAGGCTTTGACTGGTCGGAGACACACCTCGAGAGGCCCCTCCTGCTGCCGGTGGGTCCCGTGTCTTGCCCCTTTATCCTGACACAGACATGGATCGAATCTATCTTGGACTCTACATGTCCCAGGGTTTTCTGTGCGGAGATTTCGGTGTTTATTTTTCCAGTCGTGACCTCGTCCAGCTTCGCAGACTGCCCATGTACGTAAGCATAGCGTTACACAACTGAGAGAGTAGTTTTGAAAGCTCTATGAGAGAGAGAGAGAGAGAGGCCTATGGATGGATGAAAAGGGCAGGCAAGGATTGTTGTACCACTCAATCAAAGGAAATCATATTTGGGAGGGGGAGATAAAACAAGATTGCACGCCTAGAAGACAAATGCAAAATATGCTCTCATCTGAGCAGCAGCAAGCACGTTCTCTAACATATGAAGATTTAAGAAATCGTGCGTTTGCGCACTGGCAATCAGGAAACACAGCTGCTTGGATCTTGTGGAGTAAAGGAAGACTTCGGAAAAGCAGGAATGTTCGTCATCACACCAGGACGTACACAAAAGTGAAACTGTTGGCCAATACCGAATGTCGGATTCTCAATCTCTTCTGCGCTTCGATCATACTTCACTAATCTTTTGCTCCTCACTCAACTAACAAATCCCATCATCATCATCATCATCATCTCCTTCTTCTCCTTTTTCTTCTGCTTCTACTCTTTTGGACTACTCTAGCATCCGAGATCATTTCACCAGCCCTCCGTCTATGATTACAACCTTCGAAGGCTTGGGTCGATCGATCGATTCACGAGCGTCATGAGCTGGTGAAGATCAAGGCCAACCCTCGTGGCCGGGCGGGCGGGGCGATTTGGGTCGTTTCATGAGAGGCTTCTTATCGCCACCCAGAAGGTGCGGTTCAATTTTCCAATCGGGGTTGCCAGGGACGGGATCGTGGTATGGGGGCTCGGGCATGCGCGGGTACGGCGAGCGAGGAGGCTCCGGAGGTGGTCCTTTCTTCTGGTTCGCAGGCGCGAAGGGATCAATCTCGTTGGAGAAGGCGAAGTAGTTGCACATGCCGTTGTTCAAATCGTCGTATTTCTCCTGCAGCAGCTTCAAGTCTGCGGGAAGAATGCGCAGCCCTGCTTCGCTGTTGAGCGCTGCCCCGAACTGCGCATACGTCACATGGCCCACCACGTTGCAGCTCATCTTGCCGTGCGCGAAGTCCTCGAAGAAGGGCTGCGTGCACAGCCGTCTGTCGTAGCATATCTTCTTTATGTCCTTCAATATGAAATTCACTCTCTGCTCCTTCGACAGGCCCAGGTTCTTGCATCCCACCATGAACCGAGTCGGCGCCAGCCCCGGCAAGGGCGGTATCGGCGGCACCTGTCCACCGCACGCAAGCAAGCTCAACCATGTCAGTCCCGTCCAGTCAATCTTAATCTCAATCTCAATCTCAATCTTCCGGCTCTCTACTTCTTGGCTCGATATCGTGAGCTCTTCATGCCCACCTCGCGAGCCTTCGAGCAGGACTCGAAGACGACTGGTTCGTTCCAGCCTGATCGAAAATCTCGAATCTCTAATCGTCAACCACCGATGTCATATTCATGCGATCCCTAATTATCATCGCAGCGCAGCAGTAGGGGTAGGGCCCGGAGTCCCTATTGTTCAGCTCAGCGATGCCTGCGGGACGGATGGTTGTCGGAAGGACCAGGGCAGGACATTCATTCCCTCGGTGTCAGACTTCTCCATTTGAACATTGACAGCTCTCCAGAGAGTTCGTTCACTCATCGGCCCCATTGCATACACCCACTTACATCTGACGGGGCTCACTCGAGTTTCGTGACGCCATTCGACACGAAATCATCTGACTTTTGCGCAGCAGCAGTTTATACTTCGTCGCAGAGTTGAGATCCCTTTTGCAGGGCGTTGTCGGATAAAGGTGCGCGAGGCACGCCACGGAGTCATGGACACGAGCCCCCCTTCGACACATTCACGCTGCCTCCTCCTTGGGCACCCCACCCACTCCACTCCTCTCGACTCCACCCTAATCAGAGCACCATTTCTCGTACAAAGAACGGACATAGCACGATGTTCACTCGCCGTGCAGTCGACGTGCCTGGCTGTGGCTGAGAGAGAACCATGGAAGGGGAGAGGCTGGCAACTGAGCTATTCTCTCGAGAGGCATCGTGAGACAGACGAGACGTACTGGTTGGTGGGATTTGAGCATCGAGACAAGAGTCGTGAGGGAGGGTGGCATTTTCGAGGAGGTGATGGCAACACTTACATTTCGGAGAGGGGTCTTCTCCATTTCCTTGTACGTGAAAACGGTGTCAATCTCATCACAGAAGGCGGTCCAGCAGACTCGGAGCAGAGGCTCGTCGGGCATTCGATAGTTGTCACAAATCGCTTTGACCTCGCGTGTGTCGAGCACAATTTTGGTCAGATCGATCGCCCGAGCGAACTGCGTGTCGGATATCAGCCTATGCCTGAGCGGGTCATGTTGCTTGATGAACTCGCGACTCCGGATTCGTCCTTTGTAAACGATCAGTTTCACTTTGTTAATTGCGTTATCCACATCATATTCATCGTGCTGCACCTGCTCGTTCATCGGCACAAGGGTCAGTGGATGCATGCACATGTTTCCAGATCTTGCACTTGAAGATCGCATTGCAGATTCGTATCGTCTTTTGTGGTCATTATCATTCACAGCAATGGCAACAAGTGTCGGAATGGATCCGCCACACCAACCCCATCGAGCTCGATAAAGTGAGCAAGTACATTTGTCTTGCACTGGCCTTTCACATTGTGTGAGTCATGTGTCATAGTCATATGTGGAAGAAGATGGTGGCTTGCCTTGTAGTCCTTCATCATACGGAGTTCAAACGCAGTCTCGCAAACCATATCGCCGTAGTGGAGCAGGTAGTACTCAAGGAAGTCGGCTTGAGAAACGCTGTCCAGCTCGGCGAACGATTTGTCCAGATACTCCTGCAAGGCTTCCTCTTTGGTGATCCTGTCGCACATGACGTCCGGGTGCACTGCAGCGTTGTACATCTCCTTGACTCGATCGATGCTCACTTTACCACTCCCTTCCTAAGCCAAGAATCACCACACGTTAATGGTGTCACTAAGCATCAGATGCCCATTCATATTCATCGCGTGCAATCGACCGATTCAAACTTGGACACTGCATGAACACCGAGTTAGTATACGATCCAAAAATCTCTTTGATTTGCAGAGGTTTCATCGGGAAACAAAAGTACGTCGACCAAATAAAGCCCTCGCCGCTAATTCGTGTGGAGTCGACTCTCGCAGGAACATAATTGCAGGAAGCTGGTGTGCAAGGAGTGAGTACCTTATCTAGTTTCTTGAATGCAAAATTCACCAGTCTCTCACGATGCTTCTTCCACTGAAGCATGGGCAACAATGTGGTGGGTTCTTCATTAGTTGCAGCCAGTCGACATCAATCATTCTATCTACCTCTACTGCAGGCAGACGCTAAGAAGAAACTGAGATTCTGCGGGTTTACTAAGAAGCCACTAGATTATCTCCGAGAAATATGCTTCAGCAAGGAATTTTCCCTCCAATGTGAGTTGGTCGCTCTCAATAGAATCAAAGAGTATCTTCAGCACACTCGTCATAACTCGAATGCAAGAATTTGGCTACACCAGGGAAATGCTACGAGACCGTACCGTGCCCCTGATTTTCTCCATCATGTCCATGAAGCTGAAGCATTTGTCATCGGGACAGTGGGTCTTCATTAGGAGCGTCATTTCCTGTACACGAGGACTCGAGCGTGTTGTTTCAGGTTTTGCAGGCGCCATGCGCTACAGGAATTGCAACACAATGTTCACGAGTGGATGGATGGCAGCAATTTACATACCTCAGGATTAAGGCGAGTGTTAGTGTAACTCAGAAACTCCTTGAAGTCTGCAATGTCCAAATTCCTGCCTTTGAGCTTCGCTCTGGCCGTGTTCAGCGCCTGCAGCCATGGGGTAAAGCTTGTCAGCGCCCAAAGGCTTGGATTTTCCTCGAGCAAGATTACTCATATTTCGACGAACATTTTGTGAATTCTTACCTTGATGCACTTGGCGCCCATTTTCCTGAACTGAAACAGGAGGCACTCATAGACGAAGAAAATCGGAAGAACCATGGTTGCTACGCTTTAGTCCACTGGCAAAGTTCGTCGAGGAGTTCGTCAGTCCTGCTGCCAACTCGGGCCGGTTCTCAATTCTCCCTCAACCGTGAACTTCCAAATCAGCGGTTCCTCTGCTCTTCGAATCACAGGCATGACGTCCAACGCATTCACATGACGGCTGCGTATCACCTGTAACCGAAATCTGGAGCAACCTTGTGGGTTCCAGCTTCCATGCCTCCGGTCTCGCATGAACTCATCGTCCCTCCCCTAACCGCCACCAGCATTTCTTCAGAACATGATTGCTTCTCTTCGTCTCCCGGAAAAATTGGCACTCTCCGCTTACGACATCATTCTTTCGTGCATGGAAATTGTTTGCGCTCCTTCTTCACGTCGACAATCGGACGCTGTTTTGCTCGTCCCTGATGCTCCTCCTGTCATTGATGTCTTCTGTCGCAACAGCTGCTGTCCACTGTTTGCGTCACCAACCAGACCAGCATCACGTGCGAGAGAATCTCGCCTTCAATTCCACTAATCCTGCAGCGAAATCACTTGTGCGTTGGCCTGCCCGCCTGCCTTTCCTGCTATGGTCGGGCTTCTTACATTCTTGTCGAATCAGGCGGCTGTACAAATAGCAGCGGACAATTCATAGAGCGAATGATCGAATTCTTGGCTCCGGAGGTTAAATTTGAAGACTGCTGCCCAAATAGACCACAGCCACATGCACCGAGTGTAAACGGTGTGCACTGCCAGACAGACTCTCGTCCCGGATTGAGATTGGAGCTTTCTCTGCGCAACGAAGGAAGAAATCAGATGCTCTTCTCGGAATCGGCACCGAGAAATTGCGGAGCCCGTGTCCTCTTCGTCGATCGATTGGACCCACAACAACAAACGCTCGCTGCTACTACTGACCCAACGAACATCTAGCAACGGTTGTCTTCGCCTCGCGGCCGGGCACTGCTGCTGCTGCTGGCCACGGGTGACAGCAAGGAAACCATGGCTCGAGCTCGAGCTGCGCAGCGAGTGAATTTCCGCGAGCAGTTATGCTCTCTGAATCTTCTGCAAACCTTTCCGTCCCCTCCTCCCCCTTCAGCTGGCATTCCCTTTCGCGCGACATGCAACTTCCGTCCCGTCAGCTTGTTCGCCGACCCGATTTTCGGTCCCCTTTCCACAGCGCTGTTTGCTGGCTCGAACTGCCTCGAACGAAATGCAATTTCATTTCTGATCGACATGGCTCCCAACTGTACCGGTCCGTGTGAATGGGGGTTCCGGATGTCGAGATATATCGACGGGGTTCCTCGACAGCGCCGTCCGAGAAGTTGACGACATTGTACCTTTTCTGTAGATTTTTCTGCGGCTAAATTGTAGGTCTCCACAGAATGGTTGTCTTATGAAACCAGGGATCTGAAAGAAGTACGATGTCTATATATCGGAAGCGTACACCCTCCTCATTCGTCAATTGTAACACATAGCAGTGATGTTTTCATGCGAAATGTCTACCTTCACGCATCATAGAAAACATCACAATTTTAGTGTTATCACAAGTATCTAATCTAGAGGCATCGAGTGAAGTGAAGCAAATCTGAACATGGATTCTTATAATAATATATTGAAATAATGAAGATGTGGATGGATCCAAGTGTAATATTCATCATAATGATAGTATGTGTAATTAATGAGAAAATTTATTTTAAAATCAACTATTAAGTCTAATGCTACTTGGGTACTTCACTTTTTAATTTCTTTATGAAAAGATGACAATTGAATATTAAATGAATGAAAATATATATGGTGAGAATAATTAGAAATAGACTAAATAAAGGATTATGTAGCATATGACTAGATAGGATTAGTTGTAATCCATGTTAGATACCGTTCTGCTGGATTTAATGTTTTTACTCACAGACAAAGAAGTTAAAATAGATAGTTGAAGATATGTTAGAGTAGATAATTCTTAACGTTGTCCATTAGGGTGGATAAATTTAGTAAGAATCTTGATAGATGGATCTTGGCAGGCTTGTTCTAAGGAGCGTAAGAACTCCTTCAACGGATCAGTGGTCACTGAGCTATGGGTGTCGGTAGGGGCCGGAAGGAACAGGAGGAAGAAAAGACTTTGGCCTTCGGCCGAGGCACCATTGACTTCAAGGGCAAAGAACGTCGGCTTAGAAAAAGGCAGCGCCGGTGGGAAAGACTTCGACCCTCGCACAAACGGTTCGCGCGAGTTTGACGAGACGGGTAGGACATAGAGAGCCAACAACAAAAACAAGCATTCGGGAGAGTTCACTTGTGAATTGAGAATTCTACGAGAATCACGAGTGAGAAATTGAGAGCGCGGCGATGGTGCGAGCTTTGGGACTTCGATTGAAGATTTTGAGGGTGCCGGAATTCAGATTAAGGGCATTCCGAGAGGAGATGATAGCCGTCGGGCTCAATTTCTTACTCCGGGCTTGAAATTGAGTCTGCCTGTCTGCCGATTAAAGTGGTACAAGACACGCAAGACAGAGGGCACAGAAATTCTTGATCGCCCTTAGAGCTGGATGGTGAAGTAGTGGGCTCAAGTCTTGGGGTTGTGTGCAGGTCGAGAAGGTGATTTGCTGTAGGACCAACACAACATGAAGGTGACAGCGCGGGAAGAGAGTACATTTGCAGTTTTGTTTTTGTCGCCTCGATCGATCAAGAATGGTTGGCGGACAACGGATTACATGGACCCCGTGAGACACAATGTGGCAGTGACGCTAATGCAGATTTTGAGGCCTTCGCGAACAACGTACATGACGTTGTGGTAGGTAGGATTCGTGGAACCAGCAATGACGGGGAAGCGAATTCATCGAGCTCAGATCTTGTGGAGCGCCAACGACAAGAACGTGAATGACTGGTTCGGGGTACATCAAATTTATTTGTCCCTGTTTTTTATCAATTTTTATCGAGGTATAGGATTGCTCATAGAGGAGTAGACTAAAAAAATTTTGCTCGAGATGGAAATTATCGGATCAGTGAATGAAGGCGCTCTGGGAGAGAACAAAGTTTTTAGTGAAGATGAAGACGCCCAACTTGCGCGACTTTCGTCTGAAGTTGACATTCTGGACAACGACGATGTTGGGCAACCGTCTGCGAAGAGTCAAAGAGGAGTGATAATGCCTTCAGCTTCAGAAGATGTTATTCCACGTAGTAGATTAAGGACTAGAAGACCTACAGCTACACAGTTGAGGTTGGCAGAGACTCATGCTCGTAGGCAAGTGAAGTCACGACACATAATGCAAGAAGTACGAGACAGCGCAAAGTGCAGCGAAACTACGTTGCAATCTCATCTGCTTTCGGATCAATGAATAGCAATGGGAGTGGGAATTGCAGAAACTGAAGACGAATGACCTTTGGAGTGTCGGCCTTCGAATGTGCCTAAGGAGAAGCCTTTGGAAGAAGGTGAAGAGGAAAAAGACGAGATCGAAACAGAAACTTTGAATCAACGTCTTCGGCCTTCGGGTCAATTGAAACCGACTTCGGGGGAAGATCTTCGATGTGTGAGAGAATATTGAAAGGTCTTCGGAGGTTACTCCTTCGTTCAAAGTATCTTTGGAGCAGTAAGTAGCGGTAGCTGGGAAGACGGTGTCGGAGAAACTAACGCTGACTCCGTGTCACGTGTCTTTGAAGACAGTGGAGTTTGACATGGGCGAAGGACCTTTGGCCTGTGAGCCGAAGTCGACGAAGATGAGCTTGTCAGATCTCTTGAGCGAGTGAATTTTTCCGTTGGTGAAGTACTTGGACAAGAGAATGTTAAAGTACTCGGTGCCAGCGTCTTCAGCGGGTTTTTATATAGAGTTGGTGTGCATGATGACGAAGCCAAAGGTGGCAGCAACCGCCAGGGTGACAGAACGAATTAAAAACTTGACTTCCGAGTGTGTGACCGTGACAATTAACTGGCAATAGCGAGAAGAACGACTTCGGAAGAAGTAGTTGGAGTGCGAAGATCTTCGGCAAGAATTAATGGCCGAAAGGAGCCTTCGCATACAGAAGGAATAGGAATGCGAAGATCTTTGGGGTGACGTCTGTGCAATTCAAAAGGCAAAAGATGAACTTCGTGGCGGATTGGAGTAGTCCCGAGGTAAATTTGAGATGAAATTTCAACGTGAATATGGACTTATAGAGCGTTTGACGACCGCCGAAGTAGTCCTTTGGGAGGATCGATTAGCTTCTTGCAATGCTGCCAGATCTTTGGAGTTGGAGCGCATGAGAGAGTTGGATGCAGAATGCGGAAGTTTGTGATCTCGACTGTCGGCAATTGAGAGTTAGTTGGCTGCTGCTCAGGCAAGATTGATGGAGACTGAGAAGACCATTGGACGTCTGGAGAACTAGACAATTGCCGGCTTGAGAGCTATAGTAGAACGTTGTCTTCGCGGTTAGATGGATTTCGAGATCCATACTACGAAGTGGTTGAAGTTAGACTCTTTGGAGCGTAGGTTGAGAGCGATAGAAGCCAACTAGATAGTATAATACATACAGTTAGGTAGGATAGTTAGTTCTTTCATATTTGACTTGGAAGAGACTAGGAAGAACTTAGAGTTAGAGCTCGCTGCAGTTCTAAGTAGAATAGTAGTAGTTAGGTGCTCTGCGGGTGTGATAATTGTTACGCTCGTGGTTGTCGCACCTATTGGGAGCTCACAGCTAGTGGGTGGTGACTCCGGATGTTCGTTGTGAATAAATTGATCCAAGAATTTGCCTTGAGGGCTTTTTTATGGAACAATTTTCTGCTTTCAGCCTGCATTCCTTTGCAGGTTTGTGAGGTGTGCGTTTTGTCACTGTGCAAGAGTTGCTTTGGGTTGTCGAAGATAGCATATCTGAAGTAGAGTTAGCCAATCTGGATGCTCTGAGTGGTGCATAGTGTAGCTCAGGATTTAAGCAAACACGTAAAGTGGTTGCTTGATGTAGCTGGTTGAACGTGTATCCTTGGAAAGTTCCCCTGAATTTCAAGTGCAGATTCGCTTGCCATTTCTGCGGTGTTTATTGGATGTATTTCAGGATTTTGATGTGATTACATGTTGCATTTGTAGAGTCTTCGGATTAATACTTGCACTTATTTCTGGAAGTGACATGTGACTAAGAAGTAAAACTCTTCAATAGAACGGTATTTGTGACATTATTTGAATCTCTTATGTTTTTTTGTCCTCGTGGTATCGGATCTATACCATTATGCTCCATTTTGGTATTTATCTGTTGTTACAACTATTTGTAATGTTGGTATATCAACTCTTGAGCTATAGATTTAGAGTAATATTTATATTTACTCAAATATATAATTTCTTCATAAAACCACTATTTTTGTTAGATACATTTGGTGAGATGATTAAATCTTCAGTAATAATCAGATTTTAAAATTTAATCAATCTTTTGAATTAAAAATGTAGGTTTATCTATTTGTTAGATGTTTGTCTATATGAGTGTATTTTGATACACTCATCAAAATCTGTAACAGTAGCTGATTCCAAAACATCCTAAGATATTTTTTCTCATGTATGTATTATGCTAAATATCTAAAAAAAATTAATACCCACAACTAAATAACCATATGAGAAATATTCATCATGTGTATGAAAAACTTGAGTCAAAAACTCATCATGTAAAAAATATGACTTGATTAAGTTAGGAAAATTATGCATCTCTAACAATTTTGAATACGTTTGGATTCCAAAAAATACTTCAAGAAAACTTTTTTACTCCATGCATCATATTTAAAGATATAGAATTATAAAATGATGGATATTTTAATTCTAATATATCTGTAAATTGTGAGAAAAATTGGAATTTATGATTTTTTCAAATTGTATTTTTTCAACACAATTTCGAAATTTTAATTGGGCTAAAATAGATGAATATGTTTATATTTTTTTTAAATAATAATTTAGTAATTTTCTTAAATTTATAATCAATAATAAGATACTTCTTTTATATTTTAGAGTATCTGATATTTTTTTAATAGATTTTTGCAAATCATGATTCATGTTGCGTAATATCATTTTCAAAGAATACACAGTAGATAAGAAGCTTCCATGTGCGCTTCAGGGTGGTCGATAAAAACAAGAGGTCGTGCCTTGTGGAAAAATAGGCTACAACATTTCTGCTTGACGCGGGAACAATATAATAATAATATATATATATAATTAAAAACCTTTATCATTTGAAGATATTTTTTATACGAGTTTTATCATATTATCACATGTAACCAATTTATTAAAAAAACAACTAAATCGCGTCACAAGATTACTCAAGTATTGATTTAACTCTGATTAGTCTAATTCTGGTTAGTTAATCTACCAGTACATAAATGAACTCACCGAAAACTCTTAGTGACACTAATTGAGTTTATGTCAATGCAGACATAAAGACGTAAGTCATACAATGATGAACCATGTGTATATCTTAAATGTTCTTGATGTGTATCAATTTCAAGCCTTAAATATTGTTCTCTACATATAAAGATCCAAGCGATTGTATGAACACATGAAAAAACCAAGAGTTAACATCAACAGTTAATATTTAACGATAATTGGTATAGTAAATTATTATGAAATGTTTCATTATCATTTAACATTATAATCATAATGGTAAATGGTAACATATCAAATTAAGTTCTGTAGAACACACTTTATAGATAATTTTTTAAATTTTGTTCATAACATACATGATTTAAAAAGTGAGAAAATGATTCTCAAAAAAAAATTGTGTTTTTATTTATTTCTACAAATACATCCCACTTCAATTATATCCTTAAACCAACTGAGAGAAAAACTCTTTAGAAAAGTAATATATCTAAAAATCATAATAAATTTAGTTTTCTTTTAATATTATTTTCATTTTGGTTCAAAAAATATTCTCACATCATAAAGAAATTAAAATATATGAGTAACAGTATCCGCATATTTATCAATATTAATTATAACTTCAAAAATATAAACTTAAAAGAATTTAACCTTTGTTTTAAATATACATGTACGCGTTCAGTTATAAATTAATATATCAAGAGACTTTGTGTACTAAACACATGTTCTTGAATTTTTTTTAGTCATAAATATGTGAGTTATATATAATTCATGAATTGAAATTAAATTCACTTCAATTTTTAAGATCTACCTACAATTGAAATTCACAATGAAATTTCAATACAAAGGTATGCTAAAATGTAAATATATGATATTATTTTGGTTCGATAAAAATTAGTTCAGATTGTGATACATTTATATCAAAAATACACGTTCATTTTTCCTTCCATTTCTGATTTCTCATGAACTACTTTCATTGTGATTTGTTGAATTATATTTTCCTTTCATCTACGATACAAGTAATTAGACGTACTGGACGTAAAGTTTTCTTCTGGCATCTTGGCTGCTATGATCGCTTCTCGTTAACTTGGTGTGATGTTTTATGCATTTAGTCAAAAACTTGACCTGTGCTCGCTAGGAGACTCTTCCGGAGATATAGAACGTTCTGAGCTGCAAGTCTTCAGCAGCCTCCGTGTAGAGGGAAGAAAGGACTCCAGGTAGAGGGCTTGAACAGTAGTTTCAAGATTCCAGGTTTCAAACCTTACTATGATTGAATATCTGCTTCCGCAGAATGGATCAGAGCTTTATTTATTCGGGTACATAACCTTGTCAGAATGGTGACGGAAGTTAAGCCGGTCATTTGTCCTCGTAAACTCGTTATAGTGACTTTGAATCGACGCTACAGAATGAAGCTGGTATCAATGCTCACATGTGAGGGGGATTGATCAATCGAAAACCGATCTCTATCTCGCCGACTCGTTGCTTCCACCTGTCCATGTTTTTTTAACTATGGAGATCTACATTGGGTGACATTGCCTCGCCGCGGTCTGAGTGTAAGTAGTGAAGGACTGATTCGATTTTGCATTTTAGAGCTCAGGTGAATGTCATTAAACCGAGATAGCTAATTTAGCCCGAGAGCCCGGTACTCACACTTTGACAAAATACAAACCTCTTCTCCATTCCAGAGCAGCTGGCAGCTGACTTTTTGAAAATAAGCTTGCAGAAGAGTAAGGATTTAACCACTGACTTCCAGTCTCTGGCCTTCCGATTCAATCCTTCCTCCAGCAACTTTCCGCTGACAGAATAGACAATTTAGGCCACTCTTCGGCTTCATAATATATTAGAATCCAAGCAAAACCATTATTTCGAGGGTTTTCTCTAAAAATTGCAATGATCATACATGACGCACTGCGAGACTCGAATCAGGAAGAGCACCAGTGTACACAAACTCAGATTCCGATCTCGGTAGGTTCCATGGCCCGTCTAGTTCAATTAATCATTTCTTGTCGTTATTGCCAAAGCACAACTGCTAGCCAAAACCATCACAGTAAAGCAAGCCGAGAACCCATAGCTCTTTGCCTTTGTTATCGAATGGTTGGAACAAGCCTAATATTCTACATCAGGTATAATCAGGGCTACAAAACTACTCTTCTTGAATAATTGTTCGTGAAAAAAAATTCGTGGACATAAGCTTCTAATGATAATGGGCATGCTGCACCCAGGTGGTCTACCACCTAGTTGGCGAACAACGTCTCATCAAGGTCGACCTGGATGAATTCGCCGTCGTCGAACTCGTCTTTCTTAGGTGGCCTCGGGGGCAGCGCAGTGGTTGCTAAGCCCTTTCCTTTCGATGAGTCCTTTGGTCGTGCCTGTCACCACCAAAGTGAAAAACATGTCTTTTAGCAAGACGAATATACCTTCGAACAAAGTTTTGGGCGACTGTTAAGTGCTCACCGCTGACCCAAACAAGTATATACTAAACATAGTTCTAAAGATATCAAAACAATATTCGCATCTTCGGTGTGGAGGAGATAGTGTGTATCCGTTATACACGAGTAGCCGTAATTCCCCTGTAGATCTATTCAAAAACAGCTAGGAATGGCGAGGATGAGATGCTACATACGTTCGAGACGATTAATGGTGAACCTGAAAGAGAAGAAACTAAAATCTGCAAATAAAAAGAGGTCCCTTATTGTGGGCAAGGGATGACTCAATGCCAGCGGCGGACTGACTTCAAGGCATGACCTTGAAGGCCAAATCGATAACCTTTGGGACAGGCATTCACCACACGCTAATTCTTTACATCTTTTCAGTACATACACCTGGACAATACTCTAATTGGACAGTGAACCTGAGTAAGATAACGAGAACGTCAGGAATATGATCCCGGCAGAGGGTCGACGAGCTGACCAACTGGTAGCATTCACTACCAGATGCTGGAGTAGCCCCAAATGTTCGGCAAACCAACTCATTAATGACTACTTTTACCGGTTACATGAATGACGACATCCCTGAGAGCAAGGTCCGGAGTTCAATTTCCAGTTTTGGGGCTAAACCTACATGGCAGGCCGAAATGGGATACATTGCCCAAGAAAGGTGCGAATGCTTACATTTCCAAAAGAGCCTTTAAACCTCTTGCCTTTAGCAGTTCGGCTGTCGCCTCTGCCACATCTCACTGCCAAAACACAATCAGGTAGATAGTTCAGATAAAACATCCTGCTGTAGAGCAAGTTCAAAGCTTCACTGAACTACTAATCATCTCGGACAGAAAATGGCAATTGTTATGAACTTATTCGTGGATAAAAATTCAACTGGATGTCACAAAAAAGACAGGAATTCTTTCAAATTTTCAAGAAGATTGAGCTTGTAATTACTTCATCAACATGCAGGGACTTCCTGGACGCAGTTGAAGACCAGTGCTACATTGGAGTTCCCTATTGCAAGCATGCCAAGACCGTTCGGAGGGAAGCCATATCAAGGGAGACACCAAGTGCAACAGACACTAGCCATTGACATGAGGTGGAAATCCTGCACAAAACGCTCTCAGCGCAGCAGTCCATTAAGACGCAGGCATTTCACGGTGTCCGACTCTTCGTACCTGAGGGGTACACTCCGCTTGGGCTTGACACAGAGACGGCTGATGGGGAAGCCAACAATTGTCGGGAAGAGGCCGCATTCACCAGGCTCGAAGCGGAGAAGGCAACCGAAGTGGGAGAAACGCACAGAGCTGCCATAGCTGCCAGCCACGCTCGATTCTCGAACGCCGGATGAGTGGGCAGAGACAGAGAGCGGACCGCTGCTCGCGCGTGTTTTCGAGCGTCCCCGGGAGCGTCTCGAGCTTCTGAGGAAGAGCAGCGGTCGAGGTGGACGGCCGCGGGTGGTATTGGATAAGGCCCCCGCCCGCCACCTTGGCCTCTGCTCTGAGCGGATGATGAGCGGTCGACCCTCCAGTGACTCCTCCCTCCTCCTGCTGCTCTTCTTCGTTCCTCGTCGCCTACAATTTACCGATTAACGTACCCTCCACATACTTTCGGATTATCGCCCTTTTATTAAGTTGGTCGATATGATGTATTATTAAGTTAGTATAATCTCCACGTGAAAAGATGGACTACTCTGAGGAGGCCATTCAACAACGGATAGGGTCTACAATTCATAACGTGATCCTCTTTTTGTGATGTTTAACGAGACTTTCATTAGCCTTGAGCTTCAAGGGAAAAAAATATGATATTGAAAACTGTTCAGAACATTGGTACAAACATGTTTCAGGTTACAGAAATTTGAACAGTTTGTACCAATGTTTCATTGGCAAGTCCAAAGATGCAAAGTTCTTATGAATGTCATATATGAAATCAATAAATAAATTCATTCTGTTTTTTTTAAATAACATATTTAAACATGTAATAATAAAAAACAATGAAAATTTTGATGTGCCACTTACATAAGGTTTTTATAATATTTACTGAATTGAAACCACCTAAACTACATAAAATTCTATGTACAAAAATAAAATCACTTCATCTTAAACCGATTGAACTATTAACATATTAAAATTATTTATTAAATACATATTTAGAGAGAGAGAGAGAGATATATATATATATATATATATATATATATATATATGTGTGTGTGTGCGTTTCAAAACGGTATGAATGAAATGTTTTTTCTCAAACATATAGATTGCATGACACAATCATTTGCAATTTTGATTTTTATTTATTTTACAAATTATTATACACATTTGATACTTAACATGCCATGTTTTGAAAGAGAAACATATCAAAATGTTAATGTGCAAATATGATGTAGGGAAAATACTTCGAGCCAATCTTTCTTTACAAAGACATATATTATAAAATTTTGACATTTAGGATACAGTATCATTATTGTCCGAAAGGTTTTAAATAAATCGATTTAAAATATTCTCGGAATTCTTTTGATTTATATGTGTTTTCCAAGCTACTGGTTTTAGATAATGATCTTATTTTGTGTATTTCATGACTTTCAAATCAGAAGCCGGATGTACAGAAAAAAGTTTCTTATTAAATGAAAATTCTATATTGATAATTCTCAGGCATCTTTAGAGTGCTCGCACTCAGCTATCCACGAAGTTTTGGCTATTTAAAAAAAAAAACTATATTTTCTTGTAAAATGATTCCACAATTTTGTGCATCACCGTGAATAATCATAAAAATGTGCATGTACTGTTTAATAAAGGATCCAGACAATCGTTGCATGTGATATATTTTGTGCAATGTAATTCACTGAATATAATACCAATAAAGATAAATATTTTGAAAACATAGTAAAATCACCTAAGTAAGAAAATTGTAATTTTAAAATTATAAATAAAAAGTCTGCAAATATGTGATTTTAGTGATAAGTCAAGGATTAAAACTTGAATCACCCAAAACTCGTGAAAGTCTATTCTCAAACATATACTGAAAGAAAGCAAAGTTCACGACGCGATGAACAATTTATTGAACTTTAAAGTGTTGAAGATAACATGTATTTCATATAATACTGACATTTGTACGAAAAATCTAATTTCATATGAAATTATGTTTATTCACAACAAATTTCATCAATATATATAAAAATTATATTGCAAATTGAATATTTATAGATTTAAATTAAAATCATAATCATAACAAATTCAAAATCTCATATGATTCAAACCTCATGATCAATATCTTAATGAAGATCCATTATGTCAAATGTGGGCTGATTTTGATGTTTAAGACTAATATGAAAACTTTTGAAGTTTCTTTCTGTTTTCATAATTTTTATTATAAAATATTACACTCTATTCAATTTTAAATTTTTTTAAAACTCAAGTTTATTATTCAAGTTCCACAGAAATCATTACATAAAAAATAACTTTTGATGAAGATTTTAATTTATCAGTAAAAAAATTAATCGATTTTGATTTTCAATCTTTATTTATAAGATTAAACAAAATTTTAACTCTAGTTTTTCTTCAATTTGGTTTCTTACTCCAAATTACAGATACATGTAAAGATGATTTTGAAGATTTACAGTTTTAGAATATTTAAAATTTTATTGAACATTTTTTTTATAAACTATTTCAAATAACATATTATTTAATATCATTGTGATGTGCATGCAAAAAATTCAGTTCAAAATTTAAAAGAATTTAATGACAATAGAATTTTAAGTTATAATTTTTATGTTAAAACATGATGAAACCTATGAGTTTTATTCAAATATAATTATCAATAAAAATTATTCAAATCAGCAAAATTTAAATAGATTTTAAATGTTGCAATGAAATAAATTACATATATTATGTTTCTTGAATTTTTTAATAAAAAATTTTTAATATATAAATTGATATAAATCACAGGATACTGGCAAGATTTGTGTGATAGCACTTACATAAACAAATTGCGTAATGTTTTTAATTCCCAATTGTTGTTTGTTTATACACAACAATAAAACAAAGTGTTTTTGTTGTTTACTATATATACAAAACGTCATGGAAATTCAGTCAAACACGACTTTCACACTCACATACGAGTACTCGCTAACTATTAAGATATTAAATCCAATAAAACACCATGGATTCCATATTGTTCAAATTTCCGTAATCTTCCAACAACTGTTCAATCAAAAAAATGTAGGAAAATAGTATGGTTAGAATTGAACTATTCTTACGTATGTCACTTGATATTATTAACCCAAAAACCCATAAAAGTTATTTCATGGATATTTTCCTATTCAATTATCCATTGTGTTCAAATTAGTAATTTATGGAATGAAAAGCCAAAAGATGATTGCATGTGCTTTCATATTTTCTCTCAACGTGTAACTCCTCTGTGTTTGAAAACCTTATGATCACTTTCCTATCACCGGACCGTTACAATCTGATGACATGACCAATAAAATAATTTCTATGTCCCTATAAAGATCAATCAAGCACTCGACGGGGTTAGAACAAATCGAACATGTATGGATTTCTTCTTGTGTACCACCGCTCTTCCGAAACAGTTTTCCTCATTCATCCCCCGTAAACAAATATGCCCAAGGCTAATGCCATGCTCTTGAGGAAAAGCCCGTGCGAGACAAATCAAGAATGCCGGCCATACTGCCCACCCCATGACTTTAGATCAGAGGTGCCGTATGGCAAGTCAATCGTGATTTTCTTCCCTCGTGTTGCGAATCCCCTCAAGAGCCACAAGGAAAGGAAAAGGATAAATCATGGCGTGAAATGACGCCCTCATAGCCCCCAACGAACTACCACAATGGGGAACCTGTTGGACAATGCATGGAGAAGTGTGTCGTGCTTGACGTGTCCATGCCACGTCAGGGCTGTCGCAAGAGACGACGGGGGGCCCTGCCTGACTTGGACTCCAGGTCCCTGCACGCACGTCGAGTCCGAACTTGCACTCGGACCTTGCGCTGGCCGGGCTCTGAAACCCCTGCGGCGGTGGTTCTCGTTCGATGCGTTCGCTTGCAGTTCGGAGCTGTCACTCTCATCGCTGCGGATCCGTAGCATCTCGACGAAGACTTGGAGCGAGCTCGGGATAGCGATTCTCGCACCGGAAGGCAGCGACCATGATGCTGGGAGCCGGGACATCTCTGGTGGCGAGCAGTTCCACGCAAATTGCTGGATTTCCCAGAAGCCTGTTTGTGCTGCCGAAGAGCAGTGTTAAGGCAGCGAGAATGGAGAGATCGGGGATTTGTGGGGCCGTCATCAAGGCTTCCGCAGAAACCTTGAAAGCTGCTGCTGCGGAAGAAGGGAAGAAGGAAACGAAGCTCTGGGGTGGTCGTTTTGAGGAAAGCGTCACCCCGGCTGTTGAGAGGTTCAGTCAGTCTGTCTCGTACGACAAGAAGTTATATAAGCAGGATCTGAGGGGGAGCCGCGCCCATGCTCAGATGCTCGCGAAGCAGGTCGTCTTCAGTCCCTCTTCTTTGACGGTGTCAAAGTAGCCTTCTTTCCTGGCCGGGTATCATTTGTCGATGTGACTTTGTTTCTCATCGAAGCAGCTTGAAGTTGTTCCTGAAGACTAAAAGTCGACGAGATGCTTCGATATGGATATGCATGTATTATATGCAGTGTTATTGTAGCAGACGAGAAGATGGCAATGCGCCAATTTTGATACGATGGATTCAATCCTGTTCGAGCTTGAAAGCTTCGGTGTTTTTTCCCTGTTAGGTGATTTACATGTGAATTGGAAGTTGGAAGATAAGCTTCGATATAGAGAAGTTTCTCATTGAGGGAACTCATACAGTGCGTCATTTTGTACTACTCTCTCGGCTTGCAGATGTCGCTGACTATCGAATATTACCTTTACAGGGTCTCATAAGCCAAGAGGATTGTGACACGATTTTGAAAGGTCTCCTCGAGATTGAAGGTAAAATCGAAAGGGAGGAATTTGTTTGGAGAGCCGATAGAGAAGATGTGCACATGAACGTGGAAGCCGCCCTCATTGATCTTGTCGGGGAACCTGCGAAGAAACTGCATACAGCCAGGAGTCGAAACGACCAGGTTGTGACTGATGTACGGTTATGGTGTCGAGACGCAGTTGACGAGATCGTGAGTCACATTCATCGGCTGCAGGTAAGCATATTATCTAAAGAAGGGAGAAACCTCAACTTGTCCGCTGACACTTCATTTCAGCTGAGGTTGTATTGACTGGTGTTGGATATTCGAAGTTGTGCGAAATGATCCAGATTGTTTAAGTTTGATACTTTCGAGTCAAGCCAAACGTGATGTCGTCTATAATTTAAATGTGTGCGGAATGTTGTATGCCAGGATGCACTCTTGACGCTAGCAGTGTCAAACGAGGGTGTCATTGTACCGGGTTACACTCATCTGCAAAGAGCACAGCCTTTACTTTTGCAACACCTATTGCTTGCATTCGTAGAACAGGTGAGTTCATCCTGGATGTCCAAGATTTTTCCCATGACTAATTTTGCCATGGTTAGAGCAATAACATTTTCACGTTGCAGCTACTCGTATCATGAAAACAGAATGAGATTTGATTTCGAGACAATAGAAGAATATTCGTGACTTTATCAACAAACAACGAATAGTTGAATCTTATGCATGTCAGATGAGCTTCATCTGCTACAAATGAAAGCAATGAACGTGCTTGCTCTCAAAGACAGACTGATTATATACAACTTATATAGCGTTGTATGCTGTATCACACTTTCGACTCACGAAGATTACTACGTGGTCAAGATAGACGCGCTCCCTGACCTTTTCTAGCCAATTTTTTACCCTGCTATTCCAGTGGAAATTTAAACATGGGCAGCACTGCTTGAAAGAGTTGATAGAGTATGGACTCCAGAAGGCCTGGACTTTATTTACCCGTGTTATGGTTGTGGATTAGTATCACTTGTGACATCCCAGTGTCCGCCAGACGTATAAAATTTGCCGTTTGGCAACTTATTTTCGTGAGATGATTTAGTAGTATTGGCACTGAACTTGTATTGACTGTGAATGAGAACCTTCATTTATTATTTTACGTATCAGACTTGAAACTAGGATTTAGTATTTCGGATAAACCCTACACCTGGAATTTATAGTGCTCATAAGAATCAATTTGTTGTAAGAGTCTCAAGTATCACGAATAGAAGTCCATGTACGCCGATGACAAGATGTACGCCGATTACAAGTTATTCGCTGATTAAGTTATTCGCAAGCATCATTCTGAAGAGAGAAGTCGTCCCATAAATGTGACCTTCTATCTATTTTGCCTCTCATCATACCATCGTATTGCCTCTTTACCAGTCTGTTCTTACTAGCACCGTTCAGTCAGGGAGTCGGTTCTATCGTCTTTAGGTTAGTACAGATAGGTAAAAATAAATGTACATACTGGAAACTGCGTAGTGGATATACTGTTTTGACGAGGCCAATACTGAAGGAAGAGCTGTTGTGACTGGCTGTGGTTGGTAGTAGCTGGAGCGTGATGCCGGGCGTCTACTTGACTGTCAAAAACGTCTGAATTTCTCTCCTCTTGGAGCATGTGCTCTCGCCGGGACAGGTCTTCCAATTGATCGCTTTGAGACTTCGAAAACTCTGGGATTCACTTATCCTCTTCGTAACAGGTAAATACTATTCAAGTCACGTTTTCTACTGGAGGTCTGATGCTGTTTTCGATGTTGCTGAACAAGGATAGTAATCTGATGTAGTTGTCGATCTGACTCGGGACAATGACTGTACTTCTAAAGTGTGAATGAGTGGGTCTCGCATTCGAATATTTACAGAACTTGAAGGTCAGGAACTAGCAAACGTACTGATTAGCAACCCGGACATTGAAATAGTTCGATCATTCAAACCAAAGATCCCACCTCCGCAAGGATTCAATCTGAGCTATCTTGAACCCCTCCAGGAAGCATCCCACATAAAGTGGCAAGAAAGTATCAAGAGGAGGATACAAAATTTGACATATCTTCCTACCTGTTATGTTGTTCCTGAAGAACTTAGAGGAAGCTTGTGGGCCCTTTGTACACTCCGCAAGCTTTGTAGAGTTTCCTGCCCTGTTTGGATATTGAAGTCGTCATTGGCTTAACTGGTTTGATTGGAGACGAATATTCCACTTGTTCTGACATATGGTTTCTTTGTCCAGTGTAGATGCTGTATCTGATCGAGATTTTCTTATAGAGTTCATGTCTGCCAATGCCATAATAGCTGTCCACCTTTCACGTTTGGCCGAGGAGTGGGTCCTGTGGGCGACGGAAGAATTTGGGTTCTTGGTGCCTAGTGACGCAGTATCTACGGGAAGTAGTATAATGCCGCAGAAAAAGAATCCTGACCCCATGGAGCTCGTTCGCGGAAAATCAGCCCGTGTAATTGGTGATTTGACGACAATCCTTGTCTTGTGCAAGGGCCTACCCCTTGCATACAACCGCGATCTGCAGGTCTAGTCATTATTGCCGTTGCAAACTACGTAATCGTGAAAGTTATTGCTTCGGTTCGTAGCTTTGACGCTTACAGACATTCTGGCCAATATTTTGTTACAATTTGATGACATTACCTGTTTATAGTATAAGCAATGTATCAAAATCCGAGCTGAACTGTTCAATACGTTTTTTGGCACTCTGCAGGAAGACAAGGAGCCCTTGTTTGATAGTGTTGAGACGACTATCGGGGTATTGGAAGTGACTACCGAATTTGCTCAAAATGTGACATTCAACAAGGAAAGGCTAGCGAAGTCTCTGTCCGCGGGCCACTTAGACGCTACAACCATGGCGGACTATCTTGTTTACAAAGTATGTTTTTTGTTTCTTTTTCTTTATGCAGTTTCGTCAGAGTTATTTACTTGGCTCTAATCTATTCCACCACCTGAGTAATTCCTTATATTTCTAGGTGTAGTGTCTGCCTCTAGTTCAAAAGCTTAAGTCAATCAGGCTACCACCCTTGTAAGAAGTTGATCATCAAAGTGCCTTAGTCCATGAATAAATGTAGTATTGGTGTTGTTTGTGAGGCTGGATGTATATATGAGAATATGGCTTTAGTATCTCAACTGCTCACCGTTCAAACACCTGCTCTCGATCCGCATTACATTGATCATATGCACGGGGAGGAGCTGTAATCTGATCTCTTGTTCAAATGGGCATCGCAGGGAATTCCGTTTCGGACTTCACACGATATAGTGGGAAGGGCAGTAGCGCTGGCTGTCTACAAGAAAGTAGAACTCTCACAACTTTCACTAGACGAGTTTCGGAGTATAAATCCAATTATTGATGAGGAGGTATACTCGTTTCTTGGATCAGAGAATTGTATCAATAAGTTCCAGTCGTATGGGTCAACCGGGGTTTCTTGTGTCGCAGAACAAATTGATTACTGGTGTCAAAAGCGCAATTTGCCATCTGGATCTGAAAAGAAGAATTAAGTTTCTTCTGAGTTGAGTCACCTTTCTCTTTAAGCCTCATGTGGTCAAATTTTGTTAGCTGGTAAGGTAGGAATGAGAGTGGGTCCTTTTGGGCTCCTTGAAATTGTTATTTACCCAGTTATTCTGGTGAGTTCATTATGTAAAATTATTTATCCATAAATTTTTGAGGTGTCTTATGCATGATTCATGCTCGAAGGAGCCGCTACTGCAACTGTATGGACTTCTTATCAATGCAGGCATTAATCGTTGATGTTTGAATCTCCTAGAAGAGACTTAAGTAATGAGTTTAATGTTGTCATAGGCTACTTAACGTCTGTTGTGACAATAGGACATGGAGGATGGACTTGATTAATTGCGTCGAAGCCCGACGTTACTTTGTGATTTCATAGATCGATAGTCTATGCTAAAGATCCAGTTAATGCTCGCAAGGGCTGACTATTCGGTTGTTGAATGGCAGTGCTATGATCTGTGCACTTTTGCACATTACTAACTCATTCGACTTCCATGTCTCCGGCCATCGCTGTAGCTTTCTTACTGAACCTTTCGGATTTCGCACATAATTCTGCAGATACTGACCACCCGCGAGGTCATGATCCGTAGCCAATTGCAAGTTTAATTCAAGAACACACTGATCATCTTACTAAATCTGCAGAAATTGGTCAGTTCGTGGGAGTAGCAATAAGTCAAATGCCTACATGCACCCACTCACTCATCATTGATCTGTCAACATTTATGATCAGGATACTCTTTTCTCACGGCAGCTGCACAAGAATAGGCCAATTTCACTTTTTTCTCCACCGGATTTTTTCTCCATCATAGAATCAAGTTGTTACAGTTAACGTGGTCTCCCTCATTCGATATTACAGCAGACAGAAAGTGTTTCTCGTCGAACAATCAATCTGGCTGTGCGACCGAGCGAAATTGAGATCAAGTATTCCACTAAACCAAATATATGCGCGGTTTACGCGGTATTCTAATCTCGTTGAAATTCCTGGAAAAACGACTTGAACTTGTTAAGTCTAGAGTTATTTCCTTTGCCAGGTTGTAGACTATCTTTTCTTTGGCTAAGTGTGATCCAACAAATCTGTAAACAGTCATTTGGAAGAAGATGATAATCACTCATTCAGTACGATTGGAATTGTACTGAATATGGGCCTATTATGAATGAGTTAGCTATTCCTTTTCTGCGAGTTGAGTGAGAGTCGCAACTCGCATTGCCAACAGAGATCATAACGGCATTCTGGTATCAGCAATTCGCAATACTAAAGCTGACGAGATCGACGATCTAACTAATGTGAAAGATTCAAGAATACAGTACGAGTTGAAAACTAGGATACTTTTGTAGTATCAACGTTTGTTGCTCAAGTCATGATTCCTTCACATCTTCCATTGGTATCGAAAAATGGAAACCTGGTATGTAGTATCAGATTCGTGAGAAGTCAAGAGTATATGCAACTTCAGTTAATTTTTTTTCGGGTTTTAAATTCTGTCAATTATTGTGGGTCAGTTATGATATCAATTCTTTGATCCACCTTTCTGACAGTTTAGAGGTATACTTATTGGTCAGTACCATGTTCAAATAGTTACTAACAAGACACCAATTTATGTACAATCGTCTAGAATGATTTTCTCTTCCAGTAGAGAGAACAGTATATCCTCATCAATGGATTGAAGCCTAGTGCGTTTTTTACAGTTATCGCGTTGGGTTTCAATCCAGTTGTAACGAATCTCAGTTAGAAAGTCCAAGAAATCTCCATAGGCGTTGATTAGATCTTTGGGATATTGCTGTGAGTCCACTCCCATTCAAAGGTATTTATACTCTCTTCAATTGATTAAACTACCTCATAAAGCGCGTGCAGTGATTTTGCAATATGGATGAGTGTCCCAAATATTGGATGGCATTCTTTAGAACATTGCTGTGGCTGTTGTTACCTATAGTCACTTGGCAAAAGAATCATGAGAAGCCAAAAGTATAGAAAAGCTAGTGGAAAAGTATATACGGTTGAAATAATGGAAGAAAATGGGGAGAAATTCTCATGAGAAGAAGTTTAAGGAAAAGGACTTTTTTTTTCATGATAAATCTTGTAAAATAAATGCAGCAAGTCATTTTTAGCAAAAAAAATCTTTGAAATTAAAGCTAAAACCTCCTTAACATTTATGTCTTATTATGGATATGAAGTAGTGGCCTACATCCAATATAATAACCGCAATGATATGTGATTAACTCTGAATCATGTCTTTGTAATAAATTCAATGTTAGAAGATGTATTTACCATAGATGTAGGCGATGTGCACAAGATCACACCCTTGTTCTATTGTTGGATTGAACAATATCCATCAATATTGTTGCTCTGATCCATGCTTGTAATAAAATCTTTCTTAAATGAAGATTTACTCATCATAGAGGTAGTGGATGTAGATAAGATCACACATGCTCTACCTCTATAAGGCCACATTCTTGTTCTATCCAACAATATTGTTGCTCTTATCCAGGCTTGTAAGATAATCTTTCTTGAAAGAAGATTTATCCACACAAACTTTTTCTATCCAAGAATATTGCTGCTCTAATCTATGCTTGTAAGATAATCTCTCATAAAAGAATTTAATCACTGTAGAGCTAGTCGATGTGGATAAGATCTACATCATCTACCTCTATAAGATCACATTCTTCTATCCAACCATATTGTTGCTCCAATCCATGCTTGTAAGATAATCTTTCTTAACAGAATATTGATTCATTATAGAGATAGAGGATGATGATAAGATCACACTCTTGTTCTATTGAGCAATATTGTTGCTCTTATTCATGATTGTAGCTCAAGTGACATTGTCATCACTCTTGCATTTGGATCATCCAACAAGAAAATGATCTCAAGAGTTTATGTTTGGGGCAGGAATGACCTGACTTAACAAATCATAGCATTTATGAAGTGTATCAAAATATGGCAAAAGGAAAATCATGTAACACATGATCATATTAACTTGTGATTGTTTCTAACCTGATCATCTATTAAAAACTATATATATATATATATATATATATATATATTGTGAGAGAAAAACAAGGTTTTGCATTTTATCCTCGAAATATTTGACAGCTAGGATTTTTGACATCTCTGAACCGAACAAAAAAACTAGAAAAGTTGATGATCTTCAGATCAGTAGTATATATCGACGTGCAAGACAATAAGCTGACATATTTTAATTTATCCAAACAGATCCCACGTAGTGCAGGGCTTTCATTTCATTAATGTCTCACTTTTATTTTGACTTTTTTCTTATGACTTCTAGATGAATGTTGTGAATTTTAACAACCATTGTAATACCAATGGTGCTAACAACAATTGAAGTCATAATGGACTTTATTTGTTGTATTTGCTCCTACAGCTAGATAATGATATATAAAAAATGACTTTGTTTACACTTTAATATTAATTAATTTTTTCAATTATGATTATGATTGTTTTTTATTATTATTTAAAAATAATTTAAATTTAAAAACTGAAAATTGAATAATAAATTTTAATCATGTATGACATATTGTTTACATTTATGTGTTGAATACACATTAGTTTTTTCTTAATTTGACGTTTTGGTTTACAATGAAGTAATTAAATTTTCAGAATAAAGAAAAGGATATATGAATTTAAATATTGCTCAAGAATTTAGATTATCTTTTCACTAAAGATTGAGTTTGGACTTCAAATAATTTTAATATTTATAATTTTAATAATTAATAATTTCACTCAATCATATGATACTGATAAATTTATGACTGATGGAATGTTTTATCTTTCCAATCACACATATTTTCATTTTATAAATTTTATTATTTGAAATATATATTTCATCAGTATTTTTATGTAATAATGATGTTTTTTAATTTAATATTAATATTAATAATAATTTTATTTTAATCACACTGAAATATTTTCTTCATTTTTTTTCACTGAAGGAGAATAGACAATATAGTAATCGGTTGTAGAAGCAATATATTTTACTAACCAAAAAAGTAAAACATTTTTTCTAAATTTTTAAATGCATGATATTTCAATTTTTGATAATTTCTAATACTGTTTATTTTCATTTCATACTAATCAAAGTTGTTTTATCCTTTCAAAGATAATAATGTTCATTGATATGATTATATCTTATGATGTTTATCATGAATTAGATTATTTTAGAATCATACCTTTTGATAAATTCGTTATTCTTTTTATTGATACATAACATTCTTCAGCTTGAATTCTTAATTTACAACATATTTTGAAGTCTAGATTTTCGGTACAATTACAATCTATAATGTTGTGTGCAATAAAATTTCATTTGTAATGGTTTTGATTATTTATTAATGACAATTTAATTGATAATAATAATAATTTTATATTGAAATAATTTTGAGACTTCATATGAGAACATTAAAGTTTTCTATGTTCTCATATGAAGTCTCAAAAATTAAATTGAAAAAAAAAAGGTTAAATTAATAAATACTTGATACGAGTTAAATAGTAATATGAAAAGTATATTCAAAATTTATACAGCATGACTTAATTTATCCTAAATATATATAATAAATTTAACTTTCAAATTCTGAATATTCTCTGCATAATCCCCAAAACCGGCCAAACGAATAATTATTACTAAACCAGATGGCGGTAGTAGGTTTCTTTCTATTGGGTCGACGGTTGACAAAGTTGTGCAATCCATTTAAAAAGAACTGGTGGAACCGCACTTTCGGTCATTTTTTAGAAACTCAAGCCACGGGTTCCGCCCTGGGAGAAATTTTCATTTTTGGTATGTTTTCATCAGCATAGTTTATAACATATAGATAATATCTACTGAGCACATACATTTATGTGATTCTATTTTTTAAGTATAAATTTTTTTTTATCATGTCAATCGAAGTAGATTCTATAAATTGCAAAAGGAGGAATGTTCTTTTCAGAAGATATATACTTTCAAACTCGATAACCAAACGTACATGATGAAAAATTGTACTTAATCTCAGAGAGAAAATGCTAACTTTTCTACACAAATGACAGTGCAGAGAGTTAAATGTGCACTGTTGTGTATGTTTGTTCTACATTCTTGGTCCAGAATGTACTGTGATAGTATACTTTTTCCTATTCTTGGAGAACTAGGTTGGAGTCACTCATAAGTTCTACATAGATACGTACGCTTTCCTGATGTGGGTGTTTTACGATAATAAGCAAAATTGCATTTAGATGGTTCAATAAATCAAGGGAAATTTCTCCATCGTGACTTTCTTTCCTCTCAATGACATATTTCTTAATTTTCACGCTGTTTTTACTATGCGTTTTTCCTTCTTATTCATAAGACACGTTTGAATCTGTCACTACTCTTATGTGTTTGAATGTGTTCAAATAACACCTCAAGATCAAGCTCAAGCTAGACTAATTTGCAACATTTCTTACATTATTCTTAGTAGAACCAATTATCAAATGCAAGTCTGTATAACATTGGTTACTTTATTATCCGATGGTGTGATTCTCACGACCATTCCATCATTAGGACCTCAGCGTTTAGTAAGCAATGACGTATGACGGAGAAAACGATAGGACAAACATGTCCTTTATCTTCAGCACAAGCCTCAACCCTACAGAATTACGAAATGCTTAACTGGTTGCAACTTTATCTTCTTCAACCCTGAAAAAAGAGAAAATTCTGGAATTTACAATATCGTCATCTTGTGGATCTCTCGGGTACTCCACTCGGAGCACATGTATCACTTGCTGTTGTTGTTCTCGAAAGCGGATTAGACTCGGTCAAAATTTACACACTTGAGCTCAGCTCATTTATATGCACGTCCGCAGAATTAGTGAATCAGGTATGGGTTACCTTGAAAACTGCAAGAATCACAACAACGATGTAAGAGTTCAGGGATTGCAATCCAAAGTTACTTCATAGCAACAGATATGAGGAGAATCATAGAAGTTCAGGAAACAAAACAGAGCGCTCTGACGGTAGCATGTAGTATCTGGCCCTGCGTTTAAATTTGTGATTGGTGTTACCATACTCGATACTAATCGTGCTTCGGAACAAAGGGGGTCTTCCGGTAAGGTTGTTGAAGGACAAATTACTGCATCATCAACAATTAAAAAAATAAACCTCTTGAAGCTACATTGGCATATATAGATCAGTAGTTGTACATACAATGTGCTAACACTGCTGGCAAATCTGGGAATGACGCCGGTCAAGTTGTTGTACGACAGTTTACTGCATGATCAACAGAAAAAACAGATAAGCTCAGTACACATCACTCGTTCGTGTATATAGCTAGAGCATTGGCTTATTACGCTCAATTTTTCGCTGTGATCTTCCACCATGGCAATAAATGAGTAAATAACACTTTTGAAAATCATATACATGATTCCGAACAGCTCACTGCATCTAAATGACGAACTCTTTGCCTCGAAATATGGTTTTAAAATAGGATATACGTACACAACGAGCAGACTCCCGATGTACGTCAACTCAGTTGGTATAGCTCCCGTTAGAATGTTGTGATCCATGCGTCTGAACAGTGTAAACATATGTACGATCACGACATATTTAAGAATCAATGGAAGCATTTCAGAACATGGGCTTGATGGGGACGTGAAAGTTATATAAGAAATTACAGCATTAGCGTGAGATTCCAAATACCAAAACATTAGTGATAATATCATGAGGGAGAGTGGATGTTGACCGATATACTCACAAGTACTTCAGATTCTTCAATCGGCCTAGGGTTACTGGAATGGTTCCTGTCAAAGCATTTTGATATAAGTCAAGGCTTGCGAGATTCGCCAAGTTACCCAATTCGGGTGGGATTGATCCGCTGATATGATTGTTGAATAGCTCCCTGCGTGTGGAAAAACAGCCTCATCAACATACGATATAGGTTCTCGAGATTATAAAAAAATAAGTACTAACAGTTCGACCGGGAATTTGCTTTCATCGTAATCAATATAAAAAAATATTCCAAAAACACGTCATATTGAAACTTGATTTTAAAACTTACAGATATTCCAGAGAAGCTAGATTGCCCAGTTCAGGTACAAGTGATCCTGAGAGAGATGAATTCCCCAAATCCCTGCAAGCGAGAATCAAAGGCAGTTCACGTGATCAATTTTCAGAAGCAAGAAGGTCTTCAATTTCGTATCAGCTAGATAGAAGCACTATAAATCCATATCCACGGATATACTCACACTCTGATGACATTGTTGTCTCCGTTGCATGTGACATGAAACCAAGTGCAAGGATTGACCAAACTGTTATCCCAACTGGCCAGGACCTCCTCTGGGTCATTCAAATGTTGTCTGAAGGCATAAAGTGCATCCCCTGAATCACCAACTTAGAGACTTCAGTCATTTTTACAAATCATTGCGTTAATAGGAACAACGGCATGTGCATACTTAAGCAGATGCAGAGAAAGTTACAAAGAATATTGTATCCTCCTGCCAGTATCCAGCACTCTTCAACTTTCAGGTAATCAAGATGAATTATTAATTGCATCAATAATTCATTAGTTCGTGAGGCATTACCCTTTTACCGTTCCAAATATAAGATGATGGTACTAAAGTATTCTATGATTTTGAAGGGCTCGAAGGACATGAGCGCATGTAATGCAAACAGGATGCGTGAAGTACTAACAAGCTAAGGTAGTCTTCAAACATACAGTACAGTGTAAAAATTCTTCCTATCTTGCACGATTTGCACGTGCATTGGCTCAATTGAGCTAATGCACGTGCAAATCGTGAGCACATGCTAAATTGAGCATAATTTTCTTTCACCAAGCCGTTAGATTGAATATCAAGAATATAAACTGTAAATATCTTAAAATTGGATGTTTACAGAAATATGTCACGACCTTCCCAAGTACTTGAAACTTAACCATCAACGTACTACTTAGCCCTTCCCGAAGGTTCCATTTCTATAAGAAGTAAGATTTAAAGGTCCATCTAATGGATCGAGTGTTTTTCAAGAAGAAACTTCACTTCGCGATTACGTACTATTGATTCGTAGATATTTCATGCGGTGGACCGAACATGTACAAGACATGTCATGAATTATGGGGCTTGTCCAGGAAAGCAGCGGAGTGTAACGCAAGAACCATACCAGGCCCTAGCTACAGATTGTGAGTCTACATCTAATTTCAATATCTCATCGTGATTTAGGATGATTGAGTTCTAGTCATGAAATTGGAAATCATCTCGATCGTGATACTCCTTGCACAGTCTTCAATTACAGTACTCAATGGATGGTGCTCTCGATTCCACACATTTCCACATCCGCCTTCAGACTGTCGAGTCTAAGCACCTTAAAGCTGAATCTCATTTCTTCTCTAGTCGTAGAAATTCAAAAATCTATTTGACTGTCATCCTTAATGGATCCGAGAATTGACTCAGATCTCTCCTGCTTGATAAATTAAACATGTGGAGTATCTCTCACAGGTCTAATTCGAAACAATCTACAGTGAATATCATCACAATCCCCTATCCCCACAACTGCATTTTTCTGGGCAGTCAGGTTGACGTTAACACTTAGCAAAAGGATCAGAAACAGTAGTAGTAAGAGAACGGGATATCCATCTAATCAGTTGTCATCGGGAAAGATACACACCTTCAAGATTGGCCAAGGCGTCGAATGGTATCGCAAGGAGCCAAATTAGAATCAGTATCCGGGTGCAGAGAAGCGACATTTGTTGGGCCATATTGTCTAGCTCTCGCACTTAGGTGATCCCGGGAAAATTCCAGCAAACAAATTTCGGGGCCACTTCTTACAAGACCAGGCTCAAACTGGAGCGCACGGGCACTCTATTTGAGAAAAATATTTGGAGATAAGCCGTCGCCCCTTGAAACAGTACACTCGAATCTGCAACATGAACATTGTGAAGTTAATCCAATCGGCTCTATATAAGGTCGCTCTCATGCTGAACATACGGCTTTTAGAGTTAGTGGACAAAGACAATCATGGACAAAGACGGTCACATCGGGACCAACTACGTGGAGGGCTGATAGATTGAAAAGAGAGCAGTCTCATACGGATTTTCCGCTTAGTGTACTATCAAAGTCAACTGAGATGTGATGGGATCACTGTGGTGACGACCAGCGAATTAATGAAATAAATTCAAAAGGATAAAAAGCTATTAAACACAGATCACAAACCGAACGGTCCCACGTAGACTCGCAGCAATTATTATCTACCAAAACTTTTACTGAAGGCGATCTTGACAAGACTCTTCTTCAAATAAGTAAGGAGATCCCATGCACCGGCAGCTATGAATTCGGCCTAGTCTTTACAAAAAAAAAACAACTGTGCAACCCTAGTGCCTTGAAATCAATCTGGAACATCCACCGGGCTAATTTTCAGAGATTGATGAATCATTAAATGTAAAAAACAGAGGTCAGTGACCTGTGGTCCAGAGAGGAGATGTGTCCCTCTAGTGATAGGCTCAAAAGCCAGAAAAGAAAGAGAGAGAATCCTGTCTTACTCCCTGGTGGGAGGAGGAGAAAATGCTACCTCCAGACAACGTCACTGCAACAGGACAAGCCACAAGCCAGATTCACCGCGTCTCCCGTGTTGTCTATAAAGCTGCTGCAGCTTTAGCTCCGCCTGCTCTTCCCTTGATTTCCTTCATGGACATCGCACAGAGAATTTGCACTTGCTCGTCTCGACACATCCTATCACAACTCCACTCCCTTCCGGATCACCAATCGAGCACGTGGCAATGCAGAGGCGAGTCAAGGCCCACATTCAAAGCAGACATCAATCAACCAAATCTCTCTGCGGCAAATTCTGGCGCATCTGGATTGGCTTTCTACTCATTTCTGCCTGCCCGCGCCCCCCCCACCCCGCCAGAGAAAGCTGTGTAGCGGCAGTTGCAGTCCCGAGACGCTCCCCTACCGTCCCCGCTGGCTTCTCCGAGAAGAAAAGGTTTGAATGAGCACTCGACGGCCAATCAAGCAGCCCACCCATCCATCCATCGCTCTAATGGGCGCTGCGCGAGAGCGTGAACCGAAGACGGAGAAAGAGGCGCAAGCGCTCGCGAGAGGAAAGAGGAAAGAGGAAAGAGGACGGAGAGACACGTGCCTAAAAGCGCGTCGCAGAGTAGCCAGCCAGCCAGTCGTCGGTCAACGCCCAGGCCTGACTGCGGCCCATCCAGCCTTGACCGCCCCGCCCTGCGGCCCGCGCGCCTTGAGTATGTCTCCGTCGCCCGCACTGTCCGCTGTCCCTCTCTTTCTCTCACTATGTGTTACATAACCTCCCACTTGTCATTCTCGCACTGGTCAACTTGCAGTCTCCATTTCAAATCCTCAACTTGCACCTTTCTGAACTCTTCTCTTCACAGCTCGAACTCCACCAGGTCGTTAACGTGCCTCCCACTGGTTCTCTGGATTTTCTGTCACATTTCTGTGCACCTCTCTGCAGGGCATGCATGCATGCACCGCAGACGATCAAATGGGGCGACAAGATCAGACATTTTCCGTCACTCCCTTCTCTTACTCGTTTCATTTGCATCTATGCTTTCAATTGAGGGCGCTTTGTGTCCATGTATACTCTTGCTCATCCCTGAAGGTTTTCTTGGGTGCGGTCAGGACATGCTCATCGGGTTTCCTTCGAGTATGTTATTACCCTTATGCCTAGGATAGGTTTAGGGTTTTTTCTCGCAGATATTTATCGTCCTTTCACTGCCCTGTGCGGTCTGTGCATGCCTTTGAATTATGGTCGCATTGAGACCAAATCACATGTTATTCTGACAAAGAGGCCAAGATATTGAAGGGAAACCTACCGCAGCCCTTGCGTCCATCAACATCAAAAAGTTCAGATCTTGTAAATCTGCACCAGATCTGCCCGCAACAACTGTATCGATAAATTTATATCTTATCTTCGTTCGGAAAAGATATATGGGAATAGTTCTCTCTCCTTTAAGGTGGGTTACGTGACATCACTCTCCTATCCTAAGCTATATTCTCATCATGTCTGAAGTTCTTGACATCAGGTATGAAGTCAATCACCCTCAGGTGAAGTATGGCTGATCTTCAACGCTACTTTGGAAATGTTTTTTGATATTCATGGTTAGATTGGCGACCTTACTCATGTACAGTTTACAGATTTTTTGTTATAGTTTGCAAGAATATCTTAAAGCTCATGCCCATAATTGTAAGTTTGCATCGTGAGTTGAAGGTCAAGCAGCTTGAGAGTTGAATCGTATATTGACAAAAGTTGTTCTGGAGTGTGCCGCTGAAGTGTATATGGCAATGTTGATGCTATAGTCGGGCATGATATAAAATAATATTTCGAGAAATGTAATGGACTACAACACTTCAAGCTTCCAGTTTGATGGACATTAGCAATCCAGAATATTTTGAGGTTGTAAAAACTGGCAAAAGAAGTTGTTTTGTTGGAGTAGGAACTAACCACCATGAAGTCGTTGGGGAGGAAATTTTTTATTCTGTAAATGGAAAATCTAACGACAATCCCGTAACAAGTACAGGGAAAAACTATCATCACCCGAACCATTAGGGGGCGTCAACCGATTTCGCCGCAAACCGGCGCTAAACGGTTCGACGAAGGGTTATATGGTACGGGAGGCAAATATACCGGTGATGAGCGGTGATGTTCTTGCCCGTTTTGCCAGGAGTAGTGACGGCTGGAGGCGGCGAAAGGGGGCGCATCATATGACCATGCATGTTAATGGTGAGAGTCAACGATGGGTCATCATAGCCTCCCATCCAGTTCGTGTGACATCACATGTGCCCGGATTCCATTCACGAACGGAAATTTGTATGATACAGGACAGTACAGCATTGGTACAGTATGGAATTCACTTTTCAAGATAAAGTAATAATTTCAACTACTGATTTCACGTTTGTAGACTTTTAGTTCCGTATATCCACCAGCAGCAAAAGTTGCTCCATCTAGGTCCTCGACGGATTTACGAGGGAAGAAAAAAAAGTCTCATCAATGTCTTCTACCTGTTCTACAGATTTTTTCTGTGGGTTAGCATCAGTCTAAAGTTGAGCAGAAGCTGACTGAGTAATAATTAAGAATAAGTTAATCTCGTCCAAACGGCGCGTTGATTTTCGCCCTGGTCAAAGTTGAGCTCACAGCCTCACACCACAACTAAAGCATCTTCACCAGGAGATCTAGATGGACAACATTTACTGCCGTCGAGTTATGGAACCAGTAAACTGCAAAAATTTATCTCAGCTCCTTGTTTTATGACTTTACTCTATAGGTGACGAGGAGGCTTTCCCAAGGCAGCGGTGGGACTGTACGAAGAAGCACACGTACAACTATTGTTGTTTATATTTTAGATCATAATTGGAAGGTTTATTAGCTGACCTGAAATATTTACCCATTGAGTTAATATTTGACACAATGTTAAGAGCGAATAAATAAAAAAAATTCAATTTTAGAAAGACAGTTCGAAAGATTTTATATTTCAATATTTAAAAAATGTGTAAGTTTTTTCAAAAATTATAACACTAAATGAACCTACTGATATTTCTCAAACCAAACATATCTATACAGCGAATTTTTTTAAACAAAACTTCATGTTCTCCGTTGGATTCTATTGAAAAATTTAATTCTAAATTTATAGATTTTAAACAAATTTATCATTCATTCAAAGATGTAATTTATTACTTACTATTATCCATATGATCCGAGATATTGGAATTTGTGGATTTTCAAGTTGAATAAAAAATTATGACAGACAATCATGTGACATTATCATACATTTGTGTTAGTTAGGCTTCAATTTTTTTTTCAAAGCTTAATAAAGTAAGCTGTGTAATTCATTCATATTTGATCTGTCATCAAATTTTTATCTCCTGAGGTAACACATGCAAACAAATCTTCATTAAAATACTTGGTTAGCATATCACATCAATAGGCATTATTTTGGAAACCATATATGTTATGTTTATACTTTTGTTATTTTTTTAAACATATCTATTGTGTTGTTGACGATAAGATGATTTAGTAGTGTTTGAACATTCTATCCATGCAGACGAATTTAAAGACTTCGTTATAAAATCATTAAAAACTTTAATTCTGAAATCTATGGAAACAAAATTAATCTTTCATACTCATTTGATTAAGTCATTTATTTGCAACATATAAGAAAATTTACATGACTTTCATTAATCATTTACATGATGATGACGACTGCATCATACTACCAATGCTGCTTGGTATAAAAAGATAGCTGATATACTTTGAAAGAAAGTATTGGCCTACATTGCAATTCAAATTTAGATAGTATCAAATTCATTTTTTGAAACATTACAAATCTTAAGTTTTTTGATTGCTAAGGTGCAAAATTTGCTGTATACAGAGGAATAATATGTAATATTATTAAATATGTATAAATCTATAATCCAAATATACATGTTTACCATCTTAAATTGATACAAATCAATGTTTTATATTAAGAACTTCTTATCTTTATGTCAAATGCTATGTATTTTTATTCTAATAATATAAGACTGATAATTCAAAATTTTCGCTTGTTAATGCATTAATCTGAAAATTTTTATTTTTATTATGAATTAATAAGTATTAATTATCAACGATATATGGGAAAAATATTATTAAGATATTATTGATAGCTCATATCAATTAGCTTCTTTTCTGTGATTCCAAATATATGTTTTTGATTTTACCTTTTAATATTTTTAGAAAAAGTACAGCCATGCATTTTATTACAAAGAAAAATTTCAATTTTCTAAAACTATGGCTTTCATATTCTCAATTTCACAAAAAAAATTCATTCAATGTCTACTTTTTTTATCTTTTTTAATAAACATTTTATGCTTCTAATTTGTTAGAATCTGCGTTATAAGTAAACGATGCAGTTACAAGACTGCATCATATACACACACTCTATATTTTATTCTATTTTTCATAAAAAATTACTACACTTTATATCTATCATCATTTTTAATATATCATTTTCATTTATTAAAATTAATTCAAAATCTTTGTAATACTAGACTTATGCTAAATTTTTTATTTTTATATATGTGTATAAATATGCTGATGAATTTAATAATTTTAGTTGAAAAGAAAATTATTGATGAGAATAAATATAAAATGATCATTTTTTTGTTGGGTTCTCAATCTTTAAACATTTGATATTATTATATTTATGATAATGGACACAATTATACTTGTAAAATGATTTGCTATTCTGAAAAGAACATCTTTTTCCTCTCAATCCAGTAGTTGAATAGTATTAAAAATTGCATGTTCTAACATCACTTTATTACATAAAAATTTATGAAAATTTTATCTTGAAAGTACTTCTGTTTTTCAAGCTTGTATTTTATAAAGATACATTTTTGTAAGTTTTCATTCATCATGCTTGAACTGTTTTTTTTTTCTCTTCCAACTATTCATCTTATTATTCTTGCTTGATGACACGTGGCAAATGATTTTATGGGTTGGTAAGTATTTTTCTTTCATTGATGATGTCATGTTTAATAGGATTTATTTTTCATAAAAATACACTTTTCATATGACTATGATTCAACTCTCCTTGCTTTTAGATATATCTACAATCTTTTTCTAGTCAAAATGTTTCAGTAACTCTTTTGCATCAGTCGAAAAAAGCTATTGAATGTTACATGATATTTCAAAATTGGATTCGATATTTAATTTTGCATATTAACAAACCTATTATAGAAATTAAAAATTATGCACTTCATGCAAACGATATACATATGAAATTTTCATGCATATGTAATGATCATTGAATTATATCAGTAGTTTGTATGAGTAAAAATATACTAGTGAATCACAACATATTTGTACAAAAATATACATTATATGAATATTTAAAAAAATGGATAATGTTTATGGATTAAAATTTTGAATTGGCATCTTTTGAACGAAAGAACTCTTAGTATTACATCAATGAATGACATTGATGATTTTTTCATAAAGCTTTAAATTTCTAAATAATGATAGTACAAAAAGATAATTACTTGATGGGAACTTGGAAAACTCAAATTAGTTGATGGGATCCATCAGGTTTTATTTTATTCTATG